TAAATATATAATCTTAATAATTTAATATAATAAAAATTGATGTGTTTATTATATTGGAATAATGGAAGGGACGGGAAATGTGTGTGAGGAGTTAGGTAAGCTAAGAGAGCAGTCCTCAGATCCTAAGTCCTTGTCTACATAAGACAGACAAAGATTATATCCCAGACAAAGAAAGATCAAGAAATTGCTACCTAGACTTCCGCCAAGATGGAGGCGTAGGTGGAAGTACTGTGCCTCCTCACACAACCAAGTTTAAAAACAACAAAGTTTTAGCAACAAAAACGCAGCCAAAACCACAGAAAATTGAACTATACAGAAGCCTGACAACAACGAACCCTTCAGCCAAACCGATAAACCGGTGAAGGTGCAAGTGGTGAGACAGACTGTGCAGGCTCCAGTGGCGGGAAGCAGCAGAGGGGACCACCATTGTCCCTCTCTGATCCCACCCCAACATACAGCCTCACAAACCAGCCACCTGGGTAGCCCTGCCCTGGTGAACACCTAACACTCTGCTCCTCATATGTAACAGGCACACACAGATCAAAACATGGCTCAAGAACAACTCAGAGCCCCAGAGCTGATAAATCTAAGCAATGAAGAAATAGCCAAACTTTCAGATACACAGTTCAAAACACTGGTGATCAGGATGCTCACAGAACTGGTTGATTTTAGTCACAAATTAGAGGAACATATGAAGGCTAAACTAATTGAAATGAATGGAAATGCACAGGAAACCAACAGTAATGGAAAGAATACTGGGACTCAAATCAAAGGAGTGGACCAGAAGGAAGAAAAAAATGACCAAACAGAAAAGAATGAAGAAACAAGAATTCAAAAAAATGAGGAGAGGCATAGGAACCTCCAGGACATCTTTAAACACTCCAACATCTGAATTATAGGGGTACCAGAAGGGGGAGAGGAACAGCCACGAGTGGAAAACTTATTTGAACAAATAATAAAGGAGAATTTCCCCAATCTGGCAAAGGAAATAGACTTCCAGGAAATCCAGGAAGCTCAGAGAGTCCCAAAGAAGTTGGACCCAAGAAGGAACACACCAAGGCACATCATCATTACATTAGCCAAGATGAAAATGAAGAACAAGACTTCCGCCAAGATGGAGGCATAGGTGGAGACGCCGCGCTTTGTCACACAACCAAGTTTAGAGACAACTAAATATTAGCAATAGAAAACACAGCCAGAACACAGAAAATTGAACTTTTTGGAAGTCTGATAACAACAAATTCTTCAGCCTGACTGGTAAGAGGGGTGAAACCAGCAGCTCGCGGAGCAGGGTTGCACGGGAAAACTCGGTCAGACAGACACAGGCGCGTGGAATCCAGGCGCAGGGTTAGACCTAGTGAGCGACACAGCGAGCGACCTCGGGGAAACAGCAAGGGAGCAGGGCTGCGGGTTGACTTTGGTCACACATTCAAGCACGGATAGACAAGCGAGGGAGTGGGCGAGTAGATGGGACCCAGCAGGCCCCCAGTGGCAACAGAGGGCGCCGCCATTTCCCCGCTCTGACCCTGCCTCCACATACAGCGCCATAACCCAGCGACTCTGAGTGGCCCGGCCCTGGTGAACCACCTAAGGCTCTGCTCCTCACCCAGTGGCGCAAAACAACAGAGGGGGCCGCCATTTCCCCGTTCTGACCACGCCCCCACATACAGCATCACAAACCAGCAATCTGGGAATCCAAGGTTCCAATCCTCACACTTAACGGGCGCGAATAGACCAAAAATGGCTCAAGAAGATCTCAAAGCCCCAGGGCCTATAAATCTAAGCGATGAAGAAATAGCAAAACTCTCAGATGCACAGTTTAAAACACTGGTGATCAGGATCCTCACAGAACTGGTTGATTATAGCCACAAATTAGAGAAACATATGAAGGCAAAACTAATTGAAATGAATGGAAGTGGACAAGAAACCAATAGCAATGAAAAGGAAACTGGGACTCAAATCAGTGGAGTGGACCAGAAGAAGACAAATAATGGCCAAACAGAAAAGAGTGAAGCAAGAATTCAAAAAAATGAGGAGAGTCTTAGGAATCTCCAGGACATCTTTAAACGCTCCAACATCTGAATTATAGGGGTACCAGAAGGGGGAGAGGAACAGCCACGAGTGGAAAACTTATTTGAACAAATAATAAAGGAGAATTTCCCCAATCTGGCAAAGGAAATAGACTTCCAGGAAATCCAGGAAGCTCAGAGAGTCCCAAAGAAGTTGGACCCAAGAAGGAACACACCAAGGCACATCATAATTACATTAGCCAAGATTCAAATGAAGGAGAGAATCCTAGAAGCAGCAAGAGATAAGGGGACAGTGACCTACAAAGGAGTTCCCATTAGACTGTCAGCGGATTTCTCAAAAGATACCTTACAGGCAAGAAGGGGCTGGAAAGAGGTATTCCAAGTCATGAAAACCAAAGACCTACAACCAAGATTGCTCTATCCAGCAAAACTTTCATTTAGAATGGAAGGACAGATAAAGTGCTTCTCAGATAAGATCAAATTCAAGGAGTTCATCATCACCAAGCCCTTATTATATGAAATGTTAAAGGGACTTATCTAAGAAAAATAAATTAAAAAACATGAACAGTGAAAGGACAGCAAACTCAGTTATTAACAGCCACACCTAAAACAAAAGCAAACTAAAAGGACAGCTAGATCAGGAGTGGAAACATAGAAAGGAAGATCTCAAGGAGGGTTAGCAACAGGGGAGTGGGAGAAGGGAAAGGGGGGAGAAGGTACAGAAAATAAGTAGCATAGACAGTAGATAGAAAATAGATGGGGGGGCAAGAATAGTATGGGAAATATAGAATCTAAAGAACTTGAGACACATGGTCATAAACTAAAGGGGGGGTAATGGTGGGGACGGGGGGTAGGGTGGAGGGGAATGAAGGGGGGGAATAGAACAACTGTAATGGCACAATCAATAAAAAAAAGAGGTAAAAAAATAAAATAAAATGAAGGACAGAATTCTAGAAGCAGCAAGAGATAAGGGGGCAATCACCTACAAAGGAGTTCCCTTCAGACCGTCAGTGGATTTCTCAAAAGAGACCTTACAGGCAAGAAGGGGCTGGAAAGAAGTATTCCAAGTCATGAAATCCAAAGACCTACATCCAAGACTGATCTATCCAGCAAAGCTTTCATTTAGAATGGAAGGAGAGATAAAGTGCTTCCCAGATAAGGTCAAATTCAAGGAGTTCATCATCACCAAGACCTTATTATATGAAATGTTAAATGGACTTACCTAAGAAAAAGAAGATAAAAAAGATGAACAGTGAAAGGACAGCAAACTCACAGTTATTAGGAACCACACCTAAAGCAAAAGCAAACTAAGAGGACAGCTAGATCAGGAACAGAACCATAGAAATGAAAATCTCATGGAGGGTTAGCAACAGGGGAGTGGGAGAAGGAGAAGGGGGGAGAAGGTACAGAAAATAGGTGGCATAGACGGTAGGTAGAAAATAGATAGGGGGGAGGGCAAGAATAGTATGGGAAATATAGAATCTAAAGAACCTGAGGCACATGGTCATAAACTAAAGGGGGGGAACGGTGGGGGAGGGGGTGTGCAGGGTTGAGGGGAATGAAGGGGGGGAAATAGAACAACTGTAATGGCATAATCAATAAAATATATTAAAAAAAATAAACTGGTACCTAAACATTGTATTTAGAAATCTGGAGGCAAATATCAGAAATAATAGCTAATGAGTTGAACAGCTGCCTCGGGGGATGGGTCCCAGGGGACTGCTGTTTTTCATTTTAAGTCCTACAGTACTATTTATTGTTTATGTGTATGCAAAATTCTGATAAAAATTAGAAAGAAATAAAAAGGTAGGTACTCTTTTTAAACATAAAGTGATTATTAATCCCATAGGCAAAGGCTCTCAGAGCTAGAAAGAGATCTTGAGATGTAGTCTCATTTTTAATTTCCCTAATACAATATTTATAATAAAAAGAACATGATGGTTTCTCTACTCAAATCAGTTCTCTTTTCCTGTGAAGTTTCTTTTTAAAGATTTTATTTACTTATTTTTAGAGAGAGGGGAAGGGAGGGAGAAAGAGAGGGACAGAAACATCAATAACTGGTGTGGTTGCCTCATGTGCACCCCTAACTGGGGACCTAGTACACAACCCAGGCATGTGCCCTGACTGGGAATCTGACAGGTGACTCTTTGGTTCACAGGTGGGTCTCAATCCACTGAGCCACACCTGCCAGGGCCCTTTCTTGTAAAGTTTTATCATTCCATATTTATGATTCCAACAGATGTTCTAAACAAATAACCACACTATGAAAGTAATGAGAAACTGCCCTGGCTGGTGTGGCTCAGTGGATTGAGCGCCCCCTGCAAACCAAAGGGTCTCTGGTTCAATTCTCAGTCAGGGCACACACCAGGGTGGTGGGCCGGGTCCTCAGTAGAGGTTGCACAAGAGGCAACCAACCACACATTGATGTTTCTCTCCCTCTCTTTCTCCCTCCCTTCCCCTCTCTCTAAAAATAAATAAAATCTTTAAAAATAGTAACGAGAAATGGCTATGTTTACTGGCATATGCCCTCTCCTCTCCTCTCCTTCCACATGTCCCATCCAAGGGAGTTAAACATTTAAGATCTGTGGCCCCATTCCATATATTACACACTTGGTGTATGGATGAATAAAACATGCCAGGCTCTGTACTTATGATCCTAAGACTGCATGAAACTGAGAAATTCAGTTTGGTTAACCACATACTGAATTAAGTCTAGGAGAAGGCAGGTTACAGTGAAAAGTTTTTTCTCATAAAAAATAAATAATTTTAAGAGTCAAAGCCAACAATAAACATAGTTCCTGACAGTCACTTTGCTTAATTACATTATTTGGGGCTATATATATGGATGCTTATTTTATTTTTTAGATGTATTTATTTCTAGAGAGAGGGGAAGGGGGAGAGAGAGGGAAACACTGATGTGTGAAAGAAACATTGATCAGTAGCCTCCCACACACCTCCAGCCAGCGACCTTTTTGCAGGAGACAAATGCTACTACTCAACTCCTACTAAAAGATGGCAGCCCTAAGAACTCTGTTAATGAAACAAGTTATGGATATACTCCCAGTCCTAAAGGAATGAGGCGGAGACATTTCCACATGCAGTTCACTTTTAAAATCAGATTTACTTTTACCACTGCTTGGATACATGCAATGATTAAATGGTACCTACTGCCTCCTCTAATAAGAATAATACCGAGAAGGTATTTGTTTATAAGAATAAATATGGTGGCTATCCTGAAAGACTCCTTTGAAGTCAATGTCCTTGAATATCAGAAGGTTTTCCACTACATACAAGATTTATTTCTATTATGAAAGCTGTGAGCTTTGTAAATTTTTCAAAACTTAAGTTCTCACATGGCAGTGCCCTTTCCCAATTACTCCACACACCGGGACATTAGATTTATTGTTAACGGATCATTAAAAATGACAGATCTGGCAGGTCCTTACACCTGACTTAGTCCTGAGTGTAAATTGGGTGTTTTGGGACATGCACACCCTTTTGGATCACTAGGGTCATATTACTGCACTGAAGCATGGTAATTTACTAATTCTGGGTGAAATCTGAGTTGGTTGGTAAAAACTGATGGAGAGTTTGGTATTACTGATTGTGTGTTCTTTTTTTGTGCTTTTTTGTTTTGGTTTAGAGAAAGAGGGAAAGGGGGGAAAAGGAAGAGAGAGGGAAGGAGAGAGACAGACAGACATCAATTGGTTATTCCACTTATTTATGTACTTACTGGTTGACTACAGTATGTGCCCTGACTGAAGACTGACCCACAGCCCTGGTGGACTGGGATGGTGCTCTAACCAACTGAGCGACCCAGTCAGATCTGATAGAGTGCTTTTGATACCTGCCTTCAGAATGCCAGTTTTCCAATTTGGGGCCAACCAGCTAAAATAAATACTTGTATTTATGTTTTATTTCTACTTATACACTTTGGAGAAAATGTTTCATTTAAAAAAACACCAAGGGTAAGATAAATTACATGGCAAATACTCTATTAATCACTATAAAAAATAAACCACACTGCTTGTCTACTCAATTTTCAAGTATAAAAGAACTTTCTGAAACATTTCTTAAGCACTGTCAGCATTAATACCCTCAATCTTTAGAAATTGGTGAATATTTTTGAATGGTACAACATGCAAAGCACTGCACTGCTAAATTCATCCAAATCTTATGCTATTTGTTTATGTAATTTCTTAGTTCTTACCATAATAAATTTGACTGGTGCGGGTCAAGGGAATGTAGCCTAGGATATATTTCCTTTAGAACTAAAAGTTGATATTCTGAAGGTCATTAATAATGTTATCTAAAATAATAATTTTGGGTAAATAAACTGTACTCATAAAATACTACACACCTTGCAGGAACCAAACAGGACATACTCAAACAGGTCAAATCTGCTTTTACCTCAACACTGATTCACTCTGAAAGTAGCTTTGTAGTCTACACTTCAAACACAGAGGCTGGCATCTTTTGTTATCAGATTAGAAAACCCATGCCTATATTATCAAAGAGCCCATTTTCTCCAAGCATGTGAATTGTCTGTTAAAGAAATATTGAGTTTCTTTATGGTTATCTAAAATAATACTGAGCTTCAAGAGTTATATTCCAGACTTGTGAAATTAAAGCTCAAAATATCTCAGAGTTGGAATTTTTAAAAGGCAAAGGACAAAGAAACTGGCCAGGGTTGAGAGGTGTAGCATGGCACACAGCCTATTCTCGTCTGTCCTTGGTTTTCCCACCACCCTGATTATAACATAAGAAAAAAGATCATTTGCAGATGTGAAAAAAAGAAAGCAAGATTTTGAACCAATATTTAAAAATTAAGCAAAGGTATTTTGAAAATAGTCCCTTGCCTTCTTCTGAAGGATTAGTAGCATTAATTTGTGTTGGGTAAAAAAAGAACACATTTCTTTTCTGAAATGTCTAATGTAGAAAGTAGGGGATTACTGAATTTATTTTTATACAAATATTAAAACTTCTTGATTGCCCTGGCTGGTGTGGCTCAGTGGAATGAGTGCTGGCATGTGAACCAAAGGGTGGCCAGTCTGATTCCTGGTCAGGGCACATGTCTGGGTGCAGTGGGAATCCCCCCCCCCCCCCCTCCCCCAAAAAAAAAAAAAAAATAAAAAACAAAAGTATAATTATGATAAAGAATAAGGAGAAACCCCAAAAAAAAAAGAAAAACACTGATACAAAAATTCTAGAAGAAAAAAAAAAACTAAAAAAAAAAATATCTCCTCTCAAAAAAAAAAAAAAATAAATCAAACCAACAAAAAAAAAAAAAAAGAAAGCAGACCAAAAAAAATGGCATAAAGTAGGTCCTTGATTCAGTTACCGAACATTCTCCAATTTACTTTCAACATAAAGTAATGAAAGAGACTTAAAATTGGAGGAGGTCTCTGGAGAAGATCATTATTTTAACTCTGACTGACTGAGAGGTTCCCTAGTGTTTGGATGACGTCAAGGAGTATCTATTATATGCAGAAATTTTGACTGGGGTCCAGCCACAGAATTTTACAGAGTTTCCTGGGAGGACTTTGGACTTGGGGTATCTACTTTTCTGTGCTATGTGACTGTAGGCAATAATAATTTATTTGACTAAGAAGATGAAAATACTATCAGAACCAGTTTTTAAAAAACAAAATAATGTGGAAGAAATAGCTCCCTTCAGGGAAATGAAGTTAGGATGCCCTACCTCAAGTGCTCAATGCAATATATTTTGGAATGAGACATTCAAATTCTCAGCTTTTCCATCATCAGATTTTTCTTACTATGTGCATACCCCTCTCTTTCAAGGAATGCTTGCCTTTTATCTGGCAGATAGGAAATATAAGGGCTTGAGATTAGCAATATAATTCCTTATAACCAAAACAATTCCCCTGTGATCACTTCTTTCAAAGGAGCAATGCACTGTGATGGAAGAATGTGATTTATTTTCCAATAATGTGTTTACAAGCAACTTTTCAGGAACACAGCTCTTTTGCTAAGGTAGGAACATCTGTATTTACAACACAGACCTGAAACACCTACATGTTTTTCTGCATAACACAGCATGTTTCTCTTGGCTGAAACAATGTTTTATCTTCATATTCGAGCAGGAACAGAAATTATAAATAGGTCGCTTGTGGTATTTCAGCCAGAAGAACATTAAGCCATTAGATTTGTTTAAGGGAAAACAGTGAAGTGTAACAGCATAAAATACCATGCTCTTTCTACTTTGGCACATGCACTCAAAGTTACCATCTGAAGTCTTCTTTAATTCAGTTTTCAGTTTTTCCTGGTCTTCTACCAGTTTTTCGTTTTGTGCTTGCAAAAGGTGTTCTTCTTCCTTGTTATAGCCTTTCAAGAGCTATGATAAAAGAGAGTTATAGAAGTGAGCTTAGATGGCAATAGCGAGATATTCTTCCAAAAAATGGTCTAAGTAATATATTTAAAATTATTAGTCTTTATTTTATGCTGTCTTTTTAGTATTTTTTAATTTTCTACAATGTAATTTTGCCAACAGAAACTTGGCATTTGGCTAACATACAAATAAATTTCTCCTTACAATGGCTGAAATCTCTAAAATAAAAATAACACGGGTTTCTATTTGGGCTATGATTAAAATGGTATTTTCAAAAGTATTTATGTAACCCTGGTCAGGGGGCTCGGTTGGTTGGAGCATTATCTCATTCACCGAAAGATTGTGGGTTCTATTCCTAGTCAGGGAACATATCTAGTTGTGGTTTCCACTCCTGGTCGGGGCATGTATGGGAGGTGACCAATCAATGTTTCTCTCTATATAAAATCAATAAACATACTTGTTACAGACTGCTCTGCCTGGTTTTAGGAATTGTATCTTGACCCTTTGTGGCTAAGGGCGAGGGATGACCTTTGGAGTGTGAGCACAGGAGACAAAGCTTGTCTCTAGTAGCAAATGCTGCCTCAGTTTCCTCTCCCTGCCCCCAGAGCTTGGTCAGAAGTCAATGACGGGTAAGACCTCTCACAGAGGGGGGAAACCTAAGGCAGACTCGATCACTTGGGAGGCCTTCATGGAAGGACTAGGGGGGCTGAAACAAAGAGCAATGGACTCTCACCCCCAGGCTTTGACAAAGCCTGAGTCCCCATGTTCTCTGGGAGAAGTGCTTCCTGGCTCTAATCCTTTTAAGCCTGAATACCTGATGGGGAGAGGTGCAGCTCCTTGCCTGGCCAGGCCGTGCCCTGGGGGAAAATCTGGCATGGCAAAGACTTCCTGATACACCTGTGAAATCTGCTCTGCTAAGAGTGCTTTCATTCATATGTTAAGGGTTTGAGCAGGAAACCCTAAAACTCTGTTCCTGACAGACTCGGACTCATAGTAAGCCCTCATATATCTTTGAAATGTTATCTACTGTTTGATCCTTGCCGCCTTGTATTCCCGTGTATTACTACCCAATAAAAGCCCTGGAGCAGGGGGCTTGGGGCCTTTTTCTCCTTGGAGAAACTGGCTGCAGCTGGCCTTTGTCTCCCCTGAGACACTTCTCCACTGCCCACTTCTCCTCCCCAAGCAGATCATGTTATGTCTTGGCCATATTCACTCGAGTCTGTGGCAATCGGGGGGACTCATGAGGAAGTCGCAACCACACACACTCTTGGGTGAGGATAAAAAAATAAAAGTAAAAAATGAAAATAGAATTTAGGTAAATGATATGCATGCCTTTTCATCAATTGAATAATGCAAATCTAAGGAAAGATCAATTCTGAGGATATTAATTGGATGACCATTATGTTACAATTAGTGTGAGCTGTCTACCCACACTATTTTTATAAAGATGAATTTGTAAGAGAAGAATATGTTCTCAGGGTGGAGGTGGGTAAGTACAAAATGGAAGGGCCATCTCTATGCCTGGAAAATTCTATCCAATTTTCATTGATTAGTCCCCAAATTAATTTTATTCCGTTAATCCTTTACGATGCTCTTCATATTTAAAAATCTATTCTGGCTTTTAAAGTCTTTATTTTATGTTTCCAGCTTATACTTTCAAGGGAAGAAAAATTAAAGTCTGAATAGTAAAATATATGACTAAAATAAAATCATAAATTTCTTGATCTGTATGTCTAGGTGGAAACTACCACTGTTAATAGAATTAAGAAGCTGACACTGTAAAGAAATTTTAAAAAATTTAAGTTACCAAGAAAGGCAAATTAATGTTTGAAAAATGAAGTATGTACACACTGGCATGGGTTATTTGACAAGAGTGCGGCAACTTGATAGTGACAATTTCCATAGGTGAAAAAGCAACACAGGATAATTTAAAACAGATTGACACAGAAAACAATTTCTTGTGCAGATGGTTCCTTTTCTAATGTAAGCTGGTATATTCGACAAACGAATCGTTCTGAGCACTGGCAACATGTACATATTACAATACTAGGTGTTATAAGGGATAAAAACGTAAGAGAAATGATCTCTGCTCTCAGGTAACTTAGACTACTGAAAAGGATGAGACAAGAGCATACAAGCTGTAGCACAAGATCAAATACAGCACTACTGTGTTGCAATAGAGATTAGGCAGCTTGAGAGGAATTAAAGTGCTAATGAATATATTATGTAATCCAAGAAATTGTTTTAGGAGGTAAGAGGACTGAAGTGCACACTATGACTAAAGAAGCCTATAATTTCAAAAAATTTTTAATTAAAAAATGTAAAGATCAGAAATAAGAAAAAAAATTTTCTCCAAATTTCTGTGAATTTCTTGCCTACTCAGGTTCAAAACAATCCTAGCTGTTGCTTCACTGAGTTCAGTTCACAAAGACTCTCCAGTGATTACCCAAATTGGAAGGGAATCATTGAGTTGCAGGAATGTTTATACTGCTTGAATTATTATGCCATTTACTTAGAAAAGTTGAATTTGTGTTGGTCTTGTAAATATGCTTTCATTACTGCACCTGCAAACTTGTCCAAATTTATTATGTGTAACTTGACAGTGGAGAAAAACTAAGAGTTTTGGAATCTGAAATCCAATAGCTACCAGCTACAATAATGCATGTTTTCACTCTTTCATCTACCTTATCCCATCTTGGTACATGGCTGGAAAAAAACTAGTAAGAAGTAAAACTCCATTACTGTTGTTATTTAAAGCAATTAAAAGTTAACTGGTCTTTCACAGAATTATTTCATTTAATTAACTGAGTATCAGAATACAAAAGGGTCTCAGGCACCATCTGCAAGTCATTTTATAGGCTAGTATACAAGAGAAGGCACAAAACAACATGGTTAAGATTGTGGATGGCAGAGTCGGATTGTTTAGATTAAATCTTAGCTGTCACTTAGCTGCATGATTTTGTACAAGTCACTTGACATTTTTGTGCTTCCCTTTCTCATGTATAAATTGCAGATAATAACAGTATCAACTTAATGGGGTTGTTGCAAGAATTAAGAATTAATATCTTACTGTGAAGCATCTGAAGTGATGCCTGGCACAGTGTTAACTATTACTTATGACCTTGAGGTCCAGAACATATGAGGTGACTTGCCCTAGGTGACAATGCTCATTATTGCTAGAGTTGGGACTAGCAGCCAAGTCTCTTGCAACTCAGGGTAATACACTTTCCATTAGATAATGTGTCTCTGACAGAGAATGAAGAGGTGTTTTAGCAATTTTATCCTTCCTTAACTAGTATTTCAACACCTACAAGAATTAAGTAACTTGAAATATAAGTCATCTTTGACGTTCTAACCTATGGCCTTTATTGATCAATTAGTTGCACTTTTTAAAAAGATTTTATCATTACAAAGGAAGGTTGTACTGAGGACCTTATAAACTGAAATACGTGGTCCCAGGATGTCACAGTGGAGAAGAGATTTTGATTGCAGAAGAGGTCACTGTAAACTGAAGGACATGATCCGGGGGAGGCTGGCCAGGAGTGCAGCAGACCTGATCAGGGCAAGTGAGGGGTGTTCAGGTTACGCAGTGAGGGAGAGGACAGCACCCTTCACTCCTGCTTCTTGTGGCTCTCCAGGTGAGACAAGGCACACCCTGATGGCAGCAGGTGAGCCCAAAAGAGATATGGTCCCGAGCTGCTCCTGCAGAGACCTGGAATGGATCTAGGCATGCGGCACCAGGAGCTGCTGGGCCGAGCTGGGCAGGCCCTCAGCAGCAGTGGTGTCAGCGAAGGCATGGCTGGCTCTGCAGCAATTAGTTGCACTTTGGGCACTGACAGTACTTATGTCCAACTCACAGACTTCCTCCCCACTGTGTCCTGGTTTAGCCTAGCATACCTGTGTACCTCTGATGATCTAGGACTACTGATCTGATTGGAGATACGCAGGAAGGACAGCATGGAACCAAAGGGAAGGAAAACAAAAAAAGGAAGAAATCGTGTGTGGGGGATCAAAGAATCAGTAGTCACGAAATAAGCTTCCTTGGAATGGTAACTGGTTCTGAAAATAATTCCGAAAATGTTGTGAGGAAGATCTTTGAAGGACAATACTAATTTAAATATATTAATTATGACAATATGAGAAAAATAATACAAATAGTACAAAAGCACTTTCTATTTTCTTAGAGCTAAAGAGCAGAAAAAAAATAATGCAAGAATCAGAGGAAAAAAGCAGTGCTCTATTTGTAGTTACAACTCATTAATCTGACATGATGGGCAGAATATCAAATCCAGACAGGCACAAGGTGAGTCCACAAAGAAACAGCTGTGTGCTTCGAGGCTAGCCATCATATTAATTAAAGCTTTGAAGGTTTTATTTTCTTTTTACCATTAGGAAATGAGATCAAAGGATAGAAAATGAAGCAAAAATATTAAGGTACAAAATGAGGCTGATTCTGTTGCTGAAATATTCCCCAAGAAGCAAAAATGACTCACTGTTTGCTTTTATCAACAGCTTGATTTCCCAGACCTATGTTTACTACCAAGGGAAATTTACACGACATTTGTGATTCGATGACTTTTCACAACAGATCAAAACAAAGTGAAAAACAAACTGATGCTTATTCTCTAAAGGTTTCCTTAAAAGATGCTGCATATAATCTAAGAAACATTTTTGAATTATTTATATAAAGATACCTTTTTGATGTATGGAAAATAAGGCCGACATCAAAAAAAGGTAAAACAAGGTTTTGAGAAAGTGACCATGATATTGTAGCACCAAACAGATTTTCTGAAATGAATTTTGCCTTATTTAATAGGTTTTGGAAAGCTTTATACTGTACTATGTATTAGCTACCTCATTTAGAACTGATGGAAGGTGGTGCTTGGAGTTCTTATAAGAGTCTGGGCTTTAGGACTTAGATAAGAATTTACATTCTCTACTGAGGGAACCAAAACTTTTTACATAAATATAACTTGGTGTAACATATAATTATTTGCATTTCATTAATTTACAATAGGGAAATAATCTAACTGCATTATTTTAGGAATGTTTTCTTCAAGAAAGTCTGCTTTATGAATGGTTCCACTGGTTATTTTTATTAAAAAGCAGAATTCTCAAAATATGTGGCTTACAATGAACTGAACACACTCGAGTATGAGATCTACGTACTAAATTTTAAACTTAAGGAAAAAAATACCCCAAATAATTTTGTATCTTTCATTTTTCCATTTGTTCTTTTTATTTAATAGGAAAAGCACTTTCCCTGAATGGCAGGGGTTCAGCAATAGGCTGTCAAAGAAGCATTATCATCAGCATCACAAAGTTAAAGATTTCAAATATTATATAGTCATCGATCTCCATCAACTACTTTCCCCTGCTTCCTATATTACCATCATTTAAAATACAACTAAATAAATAAAGCAAAACAGCACTACAAAAATAATTTAACTGAAAAGAAAATGTAAATATAGAGACTTAGTCCTGGCTGGTGTGGTTCAGTTGGTTGGAGCATGGTACCATGAACGGAAAGAAAGGTCCAGGGTTTGATTCCGGTCCGGGCACATGCCTTGGTTGTGGGTATATCCTGGTCAGGGTACGTAAGAAAGGTAATGGATAGATGTTTCTCTCTCACATCAATGTTTCTCTCCCTCTTTTTCTCCCTTCCTTCCCTTTTTTCTAAAATCAATAAGCATGTGCTCAGGTAAGGATTAAAAACGAAGAAATAAAGAGACTTATAAATACCTGTTTTAGGTTATAAAGTAATATTAATGGTAATGAATGAACTAAAATTCACATTCCTAGAATACCTTTCTACTTGAATCACAGAAAGAAAGTTCAATGGTATTAATCTACTATGGAGGGAAACTATGAGAACAAATCAATCTAAAAGATAATAAAATAATTAATTTGTAGAACAATATTGTTATTTTTGGTTATTTTCTGCATATAAATTAAACAAATGCTCTTTTCAGTGCTGAAAAATAATATAGTATCCTGTGGGAATATCAACAACATTCACACAAATTTTTAAAAAGAAAATTTAAATACCTGTCTTAGTTTCTCATTCTCTTTCATGAATTTTTTGGCAGCCTCGTTAGTATCTTCTGCTTGAGTTTTAAGTACTCCTTTGTTTGATAGTTCTTTTGCCAACTGAGTAATAAGGGTAACCAGACGTCTCAGCACTCTAAAGAAAAAAAAACGTTAAATAGTCATTGACAAACAACATTTCTTTAGGTATGGGTGTAGTCGAGAGAGATGATGGTTAGAAAGGACACATTTTTTAAAAAGATCCAAGTCTTTCAGTCAAAACATACCTGTGATTCATTTGTTTAGAATCTTTGTTAGACTTCCAGTCAAGATGGCAGCATAAGTAAACACAGCTTGCCTCCTGGCATAGCCACATCAGAATTACAATTCAATTACAGGACAACCATCACTCAGGACCATTGGAAATCAAATTGAACTGAAGTCTGACAACTATGGAATTAAAGAAATCATATCCATCCATACTGGTAGAAGGGGCAGAGATGCAGAATGGGCCAGTTCCATGTCCACAGGTGGGGGATAAAAATTGTGGCTATCTCAGTAGCGAGGAGTCCCAGCCCCACACCAGGCCTGCAGCCCAGGGTTCCGGTGCCAGGAAGGTAAGTACCCATTACTTCTGGCTGCAAAAGGCAGGGGAGACTGAGTCAGTGGAAGAAAATTCTAGAGTCCCAAGTAGTTCATCTTAAGCCAAACACAAACTTACTCACAACTATTGCCTCTGAGCTCCAGCACTAGGGTAGCAGCTAGACAGGCACCAGTGGTACTAGGGAGGAACTATAGTGTCTGGCATCAAGACAAAAGCTGGGGGACAACTATCTCTCAGACAAAAAGGCAGGCAGAGGCCACCGTCCCTATTCTGAACCTTACCCCCACAAAGCCATGGAGCTGCCAGGTGGGTGCCATATCTGAGAGTCCATCAACCTGGCTAACACTATTTACCCTGCCCTAGAGATCCCCTGAGGCTCCATCTGACCCAACTTATAGCTGTTAACTGTGGCTTTTCCACATGAATGGCTGGTCCTAGTACATGCTTCACCACTTCCTAAATCCTCTCAAACAAGTAACAGCAGGCCTCAGTGAGCCACCAAACTCTGGACCTCTTGCTAAGTGGCCCCAGGGCCAGCACTAGCAGCAGCTAGCCTAGATTCACAGCTTGGGTTTGCCTAGGAATCTCCAAGCCCAGCACAAGTAGTGGCCATCTCAGATTGCTTTATAGCTCAGACAGGGATGCCCTAGGCAAAATGAAGTGGGGGCTGACCTTGGCCTATACCACCTGGAAAATCCCAGGGCCTGTGCTCCCAGGGGACAGCTACAAATCATGCTGGAGCATCACTACCTGCCCGTGCACACCTGATCCTCCACGGAGGGCAGAGGCTAGTGGTCAGTAGTCACAGCTAGTCCTTGTGGCTGACGTGCCTGGGAAAATCCCTCCCATTCACCTGCCAACAGAAACCAAGGCTCAACTAAAAGAGAAGGGCGAATTCAGCCCACATGAAGCACACACTTTGAGTACCAAGCTGGGGAGATAAGGGAGGCTATGCCACTGGATACTACAGGACATCTACTGCATTAGGCCACACTACCAAGACAGGGAGTCATATCAGTTCTACCTAATACACAGAAACAAACACAGGGAGGCTGCCAAAATGAGGAGACAAAGAAACATGGCCCAAATGAAAAGACGGATCAGAACTCCAGAAAAAGAACTAAACAAAAGGGAGATAAGCAATCTATCAGATGCAGATCAAAACACTGGTTATAAGGATGCTCAAGAAACTTAGTAATTCAAGAGCATAAAAAAGACCCAGTCAGAAATGAATGATACACCAATTTAAATAAAGAACAATTTACAGAGAAACAACAGTAAAGTGAATGAAGCCAAGAATCAAATCAATGATTTGGAATGTAAGGAAGAAAAATAAAACCAATCATAACAACAGAAAGAAAAAAGAACCCAAGAAATTGAGGATAGTGTAAGCAGCCTCTAGGGCAACATAAAGTTTTCCAACATTCACATTGTAGGGGTGCCAGAAGGAGGAGAGAAAAGCAAGAAACTGGAACTCTATTTGAAAAATAATGAAAGAAAACTTCCCTAACTTGGTGAAGAAAATAGACATGCAAGTCCAGGAAGCACAAATAGTCCCAAACAAGATGGATGCAAAGGAACTCACTCCAAGACATATTCTAATTAAAAAGCCAAAGTTTAAAGATAAAAAGCAGCAAGAGAAAAGCAGCTAGTTACTTACAGGGAAGTTCTCATAAGACTTTCAGCTGATTTCTCAAAAGAAACTGCAGGCTAGAAGCGATTGGCAAGAAATACTCAGTCATGAAAAGCAGGCAGCTACAGCCACAACTGCTCTACTCAGCAAGGATATCATTTAGAATTGAATGGTAGATAAACAGCTTCCCAGACAAGAGAAAACCAAAGGAGTTCATCATTACCAAACCATTATTGTATGAAATGTTAATGGGACTTATTTAAGAAAACGAAGATCAAAACTATGAACAATAAAATTGCAACAAATACAAATCGACAATTGAATCTGAAAAACAAACCAAGCAAACAAGACGAAAAGAGACAGAATCATGGATATAGAGAGCATTTTGATGGTTGCCAGATGGGAGAAGGGCTTTGGGGAATGGATGAATGGGTGAGGGGATTAAGAAGTGCAAATAGGTAGCAACACAACAGCCATGGGGATGTTAAGTACAGTGTAGGAAATGGAGTAGCCAAAAAGGTTATGTGCATTACCCATGGACATGAACAATGGTGTATGGGGATTACCTGAGGGAGTCGGGGTTACTGGGTAGAGGGGGGGCAAAAGGGGAAAACTGGGGCAACTGTAATAGCATAATCAATAAAATATAATAAAAAAAGAATCTTTGTTAGAAGACTAACATTTGAAATACAAGTCCAATGGTACTTACTAATTTAAGGTTTTTCTTTGTAGATGCTTCCAGCCAAGAGGAGCAGAAACAGAATTTCAGACAGTGTGGCAGGGCTAGTAACAAAACTCTATTTTTTCCCCCAGTTCAAACTTTGCTATTTAAAGAGCATTGTATGAGGCTGGTCAAGCCCCCAGACTGCTCATAAATGGGTGTTTGTGGGTAACTTCTATTGTTAGAAGTAGTAATTAGTATCTTCAATTACTCATTCAACAGACATCTCCTCAGGAGCTGCTAAGTGTTAAGTATTGTGTTTCAGGTACTGGGGACACAGCAAGAAATAAGACAAAGTCCTTTTTTTCAAAGAGTTTAGGTTGTAGTTGGAGGGGCAAGAGTTAGAACAGTGTTTAATTATAATCATGAATGATACTCGAAAGAAAGTATCATATTTTGTTGTGTGTAATGCTTATATTTTTGCCCAAATTTGTGAGGGAAAAATAAGGTTGTGCATTATACATGGGTAGTACCTGAAAGACCTTGTACCTGTTCTTGTATTTTAAACTATATGTTACATAAAGTTTCTTGTACCATATGTCCAAAAATAAATACTAAAATTCTTTTATAATACAAAAAAACAAGTATTTAAATATAAATAACTAAATAATTGAATTAAAAATTAAAGTTTTTTTCCTGAAAGTTTGGGCCAAAAACATGGGTGTGCACTATAAACAGGAGCACATTATACACAACAAAATACAGTATATATACATTCTATAGGAGATTACAAGAGACCTATCTTCTTCTAGGGGAATGATGGTCATAGAAGGCTTCCTTGGGAAAGACACTGAATGATGAAAAGTTTGCCAGAGAAAGAGGAAAGAGTGTTCTGGCAGAAGGAAAAGCAGGTAAGAAGATCCTGAAGTAGGCAGGAGCTAATTATACAATTGGCGCTTAATAAATATTCATTACAAGAATGAATGAATGCCCTGGATGGGTAGCTCAGTTGGTTAGAGCATCATCCCAATATGCCAAAGTTGGTGGTTTGATACCCAGTCAGGGCACATATGAATGTATAAATTAGTGGAACAAATTGATGTTTATCTCTCTCTCCCACTTTCCCTGTCTAAAATCAATTTTAAAAGAATGAATGAATTAATAGTGGAGTAGGAATGTGGTGTACTTGTCAGAGAACAGTATGAAAGAAGGCTCCAGATAGAAGCAGGAGCTAGATCATTCAGAGCTTATTAACCTTTCAAACCTACAATCCATAACTATTACTTGTTATTTGGAAATATAGTCTGAGTTCTTTTATGCAGATGTTAGTATAATTAATTAATATTGCATAAAAATCTATAGGTTAAAAAAATGAGAAACAAATTGTTTTCAAATGTGTGTGTTTTACTTACAGCCAAAAAAATAATGAAAATCCAGAAATGTAAAGATTTCTTTGAGACCTAAAAAGTTTCATCTGTGTATGTTCATGGGCACCAGGTCTGCTGGGTAAGCTCTTTTCAACAGTAGTAACAGAGGAATATTTCCTTACTTCTCTCACAGCATCTATTAGAAGAGAATGCATTTACTCTTGGCTTGTAAGAATATAAAATGATTATTAAAATGGAAAGCAGTTTTAGAGTAACTGATATAACTCTAAAATAATGGACTTTAGGCAGAGACTTTTGCTCTAAGTACTTGAGAGGGTACTGTGCTCAAAATGGATAATCTGTACTCACCATTTTTGTTTTTATTGTTTATCTAGTACTCACCATCATTTACTGTCTCATCTTTAGCTACAATGCAAACTATCATCCTTTACTCTTTCTATATCCCTAATAGGGTGACTATATTTTAACCTATTAACAATAACACATAGGCCATATCCCATTACAATCAATTATGAGAGACTATCCTATTTCTTTTACTGTACTAGCATTTTATTGTATCTATTATTTTGTCAATGGTTTCCTTTGCTTTGCAGAAACTTTTTAGTTTGATATAGTACTACTTGTTGGTTTTTGCTTTTGTTGCCTTTGTTTTTTGTGTCAACTCCAAAAAAATCATTGCCAAGACCCTTACCACCTACGCTTTCTTTTAGTTTTGTGGTTTCAGGTCTTAAGTTCAAGTCTTTTGTAACTATATGACCATTTTGAGTTAATTTTTTAAATTTCATTTTTCAATTACAGTTTACATTCAAAATTATTTTGTATTAGTTCCAGGTATACATTAATTTTTGTATTGTGCAAGACAGTAGTCAAGTTTTCCCAACATCATTTATTGAAGAGACTCTTTTTTCCCCAAATATATTCTTGCTCTTTTATAAAAAATTAATATGTGTGGTTTTATTTCTGGGCTTTCTACTCTGCTCTATTGATCTATGTGTGTTTTTTATGCCAATACCATGCTGTTTATATATTTTTAAAATTATATTGTACTGATTATGTTGTTATAGTTGTCCCAATTTTTTCCACTTTGCCCCTCTCCACCCAGCACCCCTTACTCCCTCAAGCAATCCCCACACCATTGTTCATGTCCATGGGTCATACATATATTCTCTGGCTACTTCATTTCCTACACTATACTTTACATCTCCATGCCTATTCTGTAACAACCAATTTGTACCTCCTAAATCCCTCACCTCTTCTCCCATTCCCTCAAATACCATACTGTTTTGATTATTACTATAACTTTGTAATACAGTTTAAAATTAGAGAGCATGATGCCTCCAACTTTATTCTTTTTCAAGAGAGCTTTGGTTATTTAGGGTCTTTTGTGGTTTCATACAAATTTCAGGATTGTTCATTCTATTTCTGTAAAAAAATGCCATTGGAATTTTGATAGGGATTGTGCTGAATGTGCAGGTTACTTTGGGTAGCATAAACACTTCAATATTAATTTTCCAATCTATAGGAACAGAATATCTTTCTTATTATGCAATTTCTTTCATTAATGTCATAGAGTTTTCAGTGTACAGGTTCTTCACCTTTTTGGCTAAATTTACTCCTTGGTATTTTATTCTTTTTAATATGACTATAAATGAAGTTTTCTTAATTTGCCTTTCTGATAGCTTTTTATTAGTATATAGAAATGCAGATTTCTGTGTATTGATGTATCCTGTAATTTTATTGAATTCACTTATTAACTGAACAGTCTTTTCTATGAAGTCTTAGAGTTTTTTATATCGATACAGATCTAGATTTCTGTGTCATGTCATCTGCAATCGTGACAGTTTTACTTCTTCCTTTCTAATTTGGATGCCTTTTGTTTCTTTTTCTTGCTTCACTGTTCTGGCTAGGACTTCCAATACTATGACTAAAAATGGTGAAATTGTGTATCCTTGTCTGGTTCCTGACTTTAGAGGAAAAGCTTTTGGCTTTTCATTGTTGAATATGATATTAGTTGGGGGCTTGTCATATATGGCTTTTATCATGTTGAGGTACACGGCTTCCGTACAAACTTTGTTTAGAGTTTTTAATCATAAATGGATGTTGAATTTTTCAAATGCTTTTTCAGCATCTATTGAGATGATCATATGATTTTTATGATTAACCTTTTAGAAAAAATCATGAATGAATATTCTAAGGTAGCAAAAAATATTTTAACTTTCTTCTTTTTCTAATAAACATTCAAGGTTATAAATATCCTCTAAACAGCACTTTATTGCTTAATTATCTAGCAAATTTTTTTACATTGTATTTTCATTATTACTCCATTAAAATACTTTCTCTTTTGGCTTTGAGAACTTCTATAACCCAAGCATTACTGACAAGTGTCTTATCTGATTTCCGAACACATGGGATTGTTTCAGGTATGTTACTGAATTCTCTTTTACATACTTTGCATGATTTCAATTCTTTTGTAATTTATTGAGACTTATATTTATGGGCCAGAATAGTGTATCTTTGTGAACAGAGTAGAGTGTCTACAGGTGTTTTTGGAGACTTTATTTTTACTCTTTTTAAGGCTAGTCTGTTTTGATTTTAATTTTAGTTAAATTCCTAATTCCTGAGACACAATAACTTCTCTATTCTGAAGAAGCAATCTTCTGTGATTTTAGTGGAAAGGTCAAAGGTTTTTACCATGGCCTTCAAACATAGTTGGACTTGAAACCCTACACTGTTTCTGTTTTGGTGGGCAGCATCTAAATCTGCTCAGTTCTTTTTTTTTTTTTTTTTTTTAAGATTTTATTTATTTATCTTTAGGGGGGAAGGAGAGAGGGAGAGAAACATCAGTGTATGGTTGCCTTTTTTTTGTGTGCATCCCCTGCTGGGAACCGGTCTGCAGGGAACCGGCCTGCAACCCAGGCATGTGCCCTGACTGGGAATCGAACCGTGATCGTGTGGTTCGCAGGCCTGCGCTCAATCCACTGAGCTACACCAGCCAGGGCCTGCTCAGTTCTTTTAGTGTTCTAGGTGTTGCTTTCCACAGAACTCTTTGTAATCTCCCCTACAGATCCAGGGTGCAAGGTTCAACCAAGGATTTGAGGTGAATTTTTATGCAGATTTTAGGGTTCACTTTATGATGCTTTCTCTGTTTTTGGATATTTCCCTTAGTTTCCAGCCTCTTTGATCTTTGACACCTTTAAGCCAGTAATACTGTGGCTTTTGGCTTTGAGGTCATGTGACCATGCCACAGGGCTCAGAACTGTCCTTAGAGGAAGAGCTATGAAAATCTGATCCACGCCCTGCGTGATTACCTACTTTCAAGGTTCAACTTGCCTCCAGTTTCCATCTACTTTTGGTTGCTCTCCTAAGCCTTCAAATTCTTTTTTTTCTTATTTTGTCCAGTGTTCATAATTGTTATCACAGGAGGATTAATCTAATACAAGCTATCTTGCCATTTATCTTTTAAAAATTTATTACTTAAAAAATCTATCAAGGCAAAAACTTCCAATTCCTCAGTGAAGTAAATGTTACTATCCTCTTCTAAAATGAAAACACTGAGGCTTAAAAAGTAAGTGCCTATCCGCCTGCCTTTACTCATCCATGGATAAAGTTCCTGCAGTAATCATCCATGACTTCCCTACACTCTGGGAATTACGCACTCTGCTCATGGATGTAGGCTACAGCAAGCAGTCATGACTCTGTCACAGCTTACCAGTCAAGGGCTGCATACCTGGTGCTAGCTGGTCCAATGTTTTCCTTAGAATTGGGATTCAGAATTGGCTAATTAATCCTTGCATATGGCTGGAGTAATTAACAGTTGGCAGCTGTGTGGTGGCCATTTTCTGCTTTGGGAATAGACTGAGAGTCTGTGGAGATGAGGAAGAATGAAGTGGACCCAGGGAGAAACAGAGGGACACAAAAAGGGCACTTTAGTGACTATTAGTTCCTCACTAGAATTTGGCTTATTTCTTTCCCTGGGCTGCTCTGAAACAACCTCATATTTTATTATAAATTCCTCTTTCTTGCTCAAGTGAGTTCAAGTTTGCTTCTGATAGATGTGACCAAAACTGTGACTAAAGTTCTCCTTCCTTATATAGGTGGGGTGTGTGGTGGTTTTCAGTAGAAACTCTTGTGATAATTTTAGAGTTAGATCTCGAAACACTTTATAGCTAGAAAAACCTGCAGAAATTATCTTCTCTCCAGTGACTTTGCCAATAGATAAATCAAAGTCAGAGGAAATGGCATTCCAGAAGTCATTTAGTTAGCTGGTGGCAAAGTGGGACCTGCTTTCCTTATTCTTTACTCAGTTAGTGCTATTATTTATAGGGCTGGAGGTCAAATCGATAACATTAACAATAATGTACCAGGAGACAAATATTGACATTTTTGGATGAGGCAGAAACCCATTCACACCCTGATACAATTACCTCCTCACACCCTCTCACACCAGTTGGTCCCAGTTTTATAAAGAGGATTCCATTTCAGAGGCTCGTGTTATGGAACATGGGAAACATTTTCTCACAAAACAGTGGCACACATGGTGGCTATGACTGCAGGCTGGCCCTTGTAAAAACTTAACCTGCAACACAACAGCTCTTAGGGATTCTGAAGTAAAACATGTTCTACAATGTGTATTAAAAGCTGAAGTGCCAAGAAGCAGCTGGGAGATCAGGCAAGTTACTTAATTTTCTAAGTTCAGCTACTTCTTCTAAGAAATATAATTATCTAGATTTAAAAATTTTTTGGTTTGACAAGAACCTAAAGGGTTTAATTCTAATATCTAAGATACTGTTATTATAAAAGTTTCAAACATGCTGAAAAACTAGTATAATAAAACCCATATTTCTACCACTTAGATTCAATAATTGCTAACTTTTCTGCATGTTTGCTTTACCTGTCTTAATTTTTTAACCATTTGAAAGTGAGTTGAAAATAACATGACACTTGTCATTTGTTAGCATGCAGCTCCTAAAAATAAGGACATATTCCTATAGAACAGGTGGTAAACTTTTTCAGTAAGAGGGCAGAGAGTGAATGCTTTTGGTCACATGATGTGTCTGCTGCAACTGCGTCACTCTGTAGCTGTCCATGCAAACATGTATAGATGACACATAAACAAATGGGTGTGGTTATGCTCCTGTAAAATTTTAATTTCCAAAATTGGCATTTGATTTGCAGGCTGTAGCTATGTAACAACATTTATCACAACTAAGGTTAACAAAAAAATTCCCTAATATTATCTAACAACCAGTCCGTATTCAATTTTTTTCAGTAGTCCCCAAATATCTGTGTTGTAATTGTTTTTAAACCTGCATCTAAGAGTCCCTTTGAGGGCCTAATGATTTTACTCCTCTGTGCCTCCCTAACAGCTAAGCCCCTGGTGCGTAGGATACCACAGTAACAAAGGACTGTATAACTGGTAACTCTGAAAAGTGGGGAATACTTCACTGGTAAGTACCCATATATAATTTTATATGTTGTTAAAATTACGTAGGTTTAAGAGCATAGAAAGTGTTTAAGAGAATATGAAGTGTTTATAAGAGTGTGGGAAAGGTTTATAGGAGTGTGGGAAAGGTTTATAGGAGTGTGGGAAAGGTTTATAGGAGTGTGGAAGGGTTTATAAAGCCTTAAAATATATACAAATAATAAAATAAATATAATGCCACTATTTTGTGGATTTTCACCTATTACAGGGATCTCTGGAACGTAACTCCCATGATAAGTGAGGGATCACTGTACATTGGTTTATTTAAACTTTAAAACAACTTAAAAGAGGCTAAGAACAATAAATTTCTGTTGAAATTTATGCTTCTGAATACATAATAGTAGTATCTATTAACTATTTATATATATATATCAGTATTTGCTCTATATATTATTCATATACTATACAAAGTCAACTGCACATCAATAGATACATTAACTTAATTAAAAACCAATGAATTCATTAATAAATAAGACTAGAGTAAGCTTATTCAAAGTAGGCATCTATTACTCTAGTACTTACCTAGAAACAGAACAATCAATAGGACTATAATAGTAAGAAAAGCCTTGTTCCAAAAGGTTGCAATTTTACCCCAGATATTAAATGAAAAAATCTTCTGCCATCTGTAAAGCAATACAATTACATTAGGTGTAAAAAAAACTGAAATAATGTTTTGAAATACTTTCTGAATATTGAATTGACATTTTGGTTATTGTGCAGTGAGTAATAAGAATTACAGAAATTTAACTTATGTCATATCAGAGAGTTATTAATTCATAAAAGTTTTATAAAATGAAGAATACTACTCTCACATTTAATAATAAACTGACATTTGATTAACTTCTCTCTGGAAACTTAAATACTCTACAGTGAAAGTAACTTAAAGGCAAGATACATGATCAAAATCTTAAAAAGGAATTCTCATAGTAAAATGTTATATTGCTGATAGAAACTATCATTTTATATCTTTTTCTTAATCAGGGTAATAAAAGGGAAATAACAAATACTGGCTCCAAATTAGCAATATTCGAGTGGTGGGCCCAACCCTCTCAACTATTTATTTTACGTAGCACAATTTTAACATTTACTCCAAGTAAAAGTGTTTCCCCTCTTTTACCATGGATTTTTAAAATTGAGATATTACATACACACGACAAAGTACAAAACTCTTACATATATAACTTTAAGGGTATATGTATGTATATGTATGTACCTATGTAGTTACCATGATCAAGATTTGAACACAGAGGAAATAAAATTGGAAAGTAGTCTATAACGAATTAATTAAAAGGTAAAAACAAAGACAGAGGTAGGAATGTATGGATTATAAATGGCAAAGACTGGTAAAGTAACTCATCACACAACTGAAAAGGTAACAAACTTTGCACATGAGCATTTAAAATGAATTAAAGTATTAACTGAGAAATAAGCACTTAAATAAACTTCAAACACAACTTCAAAAAATTTTTACTTTAAGATTATGACAAATTATTAACTAATAAGTTTTGGAAACAACCCTAAATAATAACTTGAATTTTGAGGGGAGAGGAAGATTGACATAAGATGAAATGACTTCTTTTGTCTCTATGCTTCCAATTTCAAGGACACTATTTAGATTTTACATTATAAAAATTTTATATTATTTGAAAGAGAACACACGTGGCAATCAAGGTCCAAATGTAAATTTACATTTCAAGGGCCAGTGCAAAACGAAACACAAGAGACACTCTACAGAGAACAACTAGCAGTTTATACTAACACTAAATTCAAGGAAGAGTTAATAATAGCTACCATATATAGAACCATACACTATGGTTCTAAGCATTTTATATGTTTTAGCTAATTTAATCACCACAACCAGTATGTAAGGTGGATACGAGTATTACCTCCATGTTACAAATGGGAGAACTGACTAGAGATGGTGAATAACTTGCAGAAAGTTGCAACAGTAAAATGCAGATAGGCTATAAACCCAGACGATCTGAACTCTGACCTCTTAGCATGTGCTTAACCAGTGGGTTTTATGAGACAAAAATAGAGCACCAAATAAAAAAGACTAAAGGCTCTTCTTTGAAGATTATGATGATACACATATAAAAGGTAAAAAGATGGAGATACACAAAGTAGGGCATATTATAAATGATATATGTACAAATATAGGATATTTTCTCATGTATATGAGTGTATGTTTATATAATATAAATATGTACACATCTATCCAATAACTACTTGATCAGAATAGGGAAAAATTTCTTTGGCCGGAAGAAAAACAACTTATAGATCATTTTGATATAGAAAAGTTTATGGATCATTTTGATGGAGAAAAAGTAAACAAAATAAAAATATTTTTTGCAAGTCCTTGCAAGTATTACCAAAAAGCAAAACAGGGTGTTATTGAGGATGAAAAAACAAATCAAGGTGCTGAGAGGTAGGGAGGGGATGGAGTAGAAAAAGCACTAACCTGAAAGCAAGATTCTTGCCTGGAATCTGCCATTAATCAGCTACATGACCTTAGACCACTTTCCCTATAGAATGAGTGGGTTAGATACAATTATCTCTAACCTCCTTTCCTACAGTATCATTCATTTATTTTTGTCTTGAGCAAGAAAGAAAAAAAATGATGATACCACTGATGGACACAGAAATGAGTTGAAATCCAGGTAGGTAAGAAGCAAGCTAAGAGTTGTGAAAGACTATCTGAACCCTGAGCCAAGGTAAAAACTTTTGTAAATCTCTTTCACGGGCTCCTAGTAAACTTCAGTGGGTTATCTGTAGGTTATTTCATTTATGGAAGATTTTCTTTTATGCCATGAGTATGAACAAAAGTGATATAACATTTTTATTACAAGTGTATTTCACCTTTCATAGAAGCAAGTTTCTGGACCTAAAACTGAACTCCCAATAAGTGAATTAGCAGGAATAAAGTGAGCCAATGTTTCAATTAAAATACTTAATATTTAAAGACCTAAGGAACCAATGCTAATGTATGGCTCTGATACTTATCATAATCAGCACTTTTAACCTATATTCATTAATTCTGTGTGGGGGGAACAGTGGTAAAATTACCATTAATGAAACAATTCCTTGTTTAGATAGGCCAAAACTAAGAATCACTTAATGGTTTAAGTTTCTAAATTGTCCTTTCACTGCCTCAGTGAAACATTGCTGCCCCCATGCTGGGCTGTAAACATCATTTATCTACCCTTCACTTAGTGCCCTGTTCCAGTTGAGGGCAATAAAACAAAGGTAAAACCTGATGACAAGACAGATGTTAAAACCACCACCTTTATTCTACCCGTAATTAACAGAAACAAAGGACCTGCCATTTGCTTTTAGGAGCTGTTAATTTGTACATTTAACAAAAAGTTTTATATAAACAGTGATATTTTAATGTCATATATTACTTAAATTTGTTAGTGGCTTTATTTTTTAAGTGCATCTTTTATATAATCAGCACTCAAAACTTCCAAATTTTAAGAAAACCTTTTCTGTATCACACTAAACAGCATAAAGGAGCTAGTCGTATACTTATCATTATAACAATTTGGCGTTTTCCTACCTCTGAGGAGGAATAAAAGGTAGACAGAAGATTAAAATGAGTCCTATTTCAGCATAGAGAAAGGTTGCAACTGCCGCCCATTGGAATGTCATTTTTTTTCTCTTCACACCTAGATAGAGAAACACTTGTTTTACTTTGTTGACGTTCAAAGAAAAGTGGGTATAACCCCCGGGTTGCCAATGTTTTCATCTAGGGGGTTTACGAAGTCCGATCTTCTCTAACTACCGGCGCCCAACCGCGGAAAGCAAGGCAAGGGAAGGGAAGGCTTAAGGGTGGCCCAGGAGACCGGCGTCTACCTGCCCTGCCGAACCCTGAGCCGCGTGCTGGGCAGCCTGCACAGAACTGGGTTTTTCCGCTTCACAGCGACTTTGGCGTAACGCCAGCCTCCACTACCATCCGCGCCTTGAGACCCAGAACGCACCGCGGGCCCTAGATCCACCGGTCGGGGACAGGCCCAACCGCGGAGAGCGCGGGGACCCTGCGGCCCCCAGCGGCAGGGAGGACCGCGGCCCCCCCTTAACCTCGCAGGGCCTTACCCCCCTTCGGCCGGCCTAGCTCCCCGCACAGCTCCGTGGCCGCCTACGTGCGAGACGTCAGACGCTGCGGCGGGCGCGGTGGGAAGCGTGCCCCACCCCCACCCGCAGCGGCCGGTCTCCCGCTCAGGCTCAGGCTCAAGGTGCAGTCCCCGCAGGTGTCGCAGGCGGGGCGAATACGACTAAAAATGATTGTGTCCTAATTGGTGGTGGACGTGTGGGACTCCCAGGTGCAACTTCAGGAGAGCCGACTTTAAATTTCTAATACTGTGTGGTTTGGGTAGGTAGCATAGTTAATGGACCTCTTAGGGTAAAGCAGCGTGGGGTCCAGGGAAAATGGCCCCGGGTCCGAGGGTTGGATAACATGGTGTAAATTCCGTGACCATTTTTGAAACGCACTCTTTTCGTATTTCGGTTCAGTTTTATGATAGAACTGACTTCACAGTCCGGAAATAAGCTCTAGTTAACTAAAAGCGTCAGGATTGGGGAGTTGTGCAGCATTTTGTTCTCCTGAGACTGTAGGACATGTAGAGTGGAAAGTATTCTCTTTCTGCTGTTGTCCAGGGGCTGGGAAGAGGCCATAAACTTAAGGGTGATGTTGTGGTGTTTGGGGACTAATGGCAAAGGGAAACTGTAGGTATGGGTAGTTTCTTTCAATGACTATTTTCCAGGCTTTCAAATTGTGTGACTACATTCAAATTATTAAGTATGTATTATTTCAACCTCGATAACATAAAAAATGCAAATGAATTTATCTTTCTGGAAACAGTTATTTTGGGAACATTAAACAAAGGGTGAAAAAGACATAATTACAGAATATAAAAACATTTAAGTTGGTGCTTTTTTGTGATAAATATACTTGATGACATGTAAATAAAAGGCAACATAGATTAACCATATGGAAGAATTTTTTTTTAACCAAACACATGTAGAACTCCTTGCTCTTCCACACTGGCACCTTTGGATGGCTGTTCACCTTAATTTAAGTATTTTGTTATCACAACACTAGTATAATTCACCTCAGAGTTAACTTAGAAAGATGACTTAAGTTTTGCTGATGGCTCCCTATTTGCTTGTATGCTTGTGGAGAGCAGGGCACATAAAATGGCACTGGTCTGATCAAGTTAGCATAAAGTATATAAAACAAAGTGGAGTCACTTGTGTCAACCAAAATGGCTGTCAGTCAGCCACAACACTTTGGTTCAAGAGGGAAGCTAAGTCAGAACAGACACACTTGGCAAGGAGACACACCTAAGACATCTGCACACGTGATCAGAACAGCCACAACTGCAGAGCGGGACCACCCACAGATAAGCTCCTGGGTAAATTCCACTTGCCATTGGGGGTGTCAAGACATTTATAAAAAGATCTAGAAAGGTAGAGTACACCACTTTCAAGGTATAATGGAGGCAGGTTCCAGACCACTCTGGAGACAGCCAGTTCTACCCCACTCCATAATGACGGTCCCTTCGCATTGGCCACTGGAGGTCCTGCTCTGCTCGACTGAGGACTTCACCTGCCTCTGCTGCCCATCTGGCTCTGAAGATCATTCCTTGCAAGATGCTGACAAGTCCCTTGCTCACTGTGCTGTCTCCCAGACCTGCAGACTGAGACTCTGAGACTGGGGTTTGTTAGCCCCCATTGATTGCTGTGTGTGTGATATTTCTTTTAGATTGTTAGAATGTGAGTAGGATATTCATGTATGTTGTTGTTCTACTTTGAGTGAACCTGCATTCAATAAACAGCTGACTGAGAAGCATAGTTACTGTGTGTGGCTCCTGTGTATTCTTTGGTGGTGGGCTGCTCAGCAGGCAGCTAGCTGAGCAGTTGCCCTGCTGACTTACAGAAAAGACTATCAGGAATATATGCTGTTGACAATACCACTCCTATCAAATGAAAAAGGCAGTTATCTTTAAAAATATAGTAACTGAACCCTGGCCCCATGTGGCTTAGTTGATTGCAGCGTCTCTGCTTCCAATCCCAAATCAGTAAGTATATCCTCTGGTGAGCATTAAAAAAATACAGTAACTGAAAAATGAAAGGAGAATGCATCTGAGAAAAAAATGAAAACAGAGTGCTTATGTTAAAATTGATTAATGTTATATTCCCAAACTCTTGAATTAAAAAGTTTTAGATAATTGTCTCCTTTCGCAAGTTTTCATGTTAGTAATATAGACCAGTACCTTGATTATGGAGCTGTTTTATTTTACCTGAGATATTTTTGTAATAGCACATTCCCCAATACCAAAATTCTATCGGTAACATTTCCCAAACATGGAACTTTAAGGTTAAAATTATTATCAACTGCTGGGAGGCATAAAAATACCACCACTAAAAAACAGGATCTGAAAATTAGGTTTTTAAGTTAAAAATAAAACCTGGTTACTATTCAGGAAATGTTTCAAATATATAATCATTTTCAGATTAGCTACCACATTTTTAATACTTAAAATGTGGGGGAGTAAAATTGATACTAGCTTAGGTGGTTATATTTATCAGTCTTTCAATCTTCTAAAGATCTAGACCAATGATTTTCATCCTTTTGTCATTTCACACCATACGTGAACTAATTATTAAAACTCTGTGGCACACCAAAAGAACGTTTTGCTGATCTGACATAAAAAAGGTAGGTATAATTTTGATTCACTCACACCTGATGGCTATTGTACTGGCTGTTGTCTTTTTTTATCCCAAGGGAAAGAGGACTGTGCCCCACTAAATGATCAGGTATTGCATATTTTAGAAATCCTTGTGGCACACCAGTGTGAAGTGGCACGCTGGTTAAAAATTGCTGATACAGAAGGTTTGAAATGTAACAAGTTTAATATCATTTAAAGCTTAATGAGACTTCTGCCAAGATGGAGGCATAGGTGGATACACCGTGCTTTTTCACACAACCAAGTTTAGAGACAACAAAATATTAGCAACAGAAAACACAGCCAGAGCACAGAATATTGAACTTTTCGGAAGTCTGATAACAACAAATTCTTCAGCCTGACCGGTAAGAGGGGCGAAGCCAGCAGCTGGCGGAGCAGGGTTGCACAGGAAAACGCGGTCAGACGGACTCAGGTGCGCGGAATCCAGGCGTGGGGTTGCAAAGGGCAGACCCAGTGAGCAACCCAGTGAGCGACCAGTGGATCCAGCCAGGGCGCAGGGTGGTGGGTTGACTGTGGTTGTGCATTTGTGTGCAGAGACCAGTGAGGGAGTGGGCAGTGAGATGGGATCGAGCAGGCCCCAGCGGTGGGAGGCAGCAGAGGGGGCCGCCATTTCCTGCTCTGACCCCACCCCCACATACAGTGTCACAATCCAGCGACCTGGGTGGCCCCACCCCGGGAACATCTAAGGCTCCACTCCTCATGCTTAACAGCCGTGAACAGACAAAAAAATGGCTCAAGAAGATCTCAAAGCCCCAGAGCCCATAACTCTAAGCGACGAAGAAATAGCAAAAGTTTCAGATGAACAGTTCAAAACATTGGTGATCTGGATGCTCACAGAACTGGTTGATTTTAGTCACAAATTAGAGGAACATATGAAGGCTAAATTAATTGAAGTGAAGGGAATTGCACAGGAAACCAATAGTGATGAAAAGGAAACTGGGACTCAAATCAAGGGAGTGGACCAGAAGGAAGAAAAAAAATGACCACAGAGGAAAATGTGAAGAAACAAGAATTCAAAAAAATGAGGACTTAGGAACCTCCAGGACATCTTTAAATGCTCCAACATCCGAATTATAGGGGTACCAGAAAGGGGAAAGGAACAGCCACCAGTGGAAAACTTATTTGAACAAATAATAAAGAAGAATTTAACCAATCTGGCAAAGGCAAAAGACTTCCAGGAAATCCAAGAAGCTCAGGGAGTCCCAAAGAAGAAACACACCAAGGCACATCATCATTACATTAGCCAAGATTCAAATGAAGGAGAGAATCCTAGAAGCAGCAAGAGATAAGGGGACAGTCACCTACAAAGGAGTTCCCATCAGACTGTCAGTGGATTTCTCAAAAGACACCTTACAGGCAAGAAGGGGCTGGAAAAAGGTATTGCAAGTCATGAAATCCAAAGACCTACATCCAAGATTACTCTATCCAGCAAAACTTTCATTTAGAATGGAAGGACAGATAAAGTGCTTCTCAGATAAAATCAAATAGAAGGAATTCATCATCACCAAGCCCTTATTATATGAAATGTTAAAGGGACTTATCTAAGGAAAAGAAGATGAAATGAAGATCTCATGGAAGCTTAGCAACAGGGGAGTAGGAGGAGGAGAAGGGAGGAGAAGGTACAGAAAATAAGTAGCATAGACGGTAGGTAGAAAATAGATGGGGCAAGAATAGTATGGGAAATACAGAATCTAAAGAACTTGAGACACAGGGTCATAAACTAAAGGGGGGGAATGGTGGGGGTGGAGGGTGCAGGGTGGAGGGGAATGAAGAGGGGGAATAGAACAACTGTAATGGCATAATCAATAAAGTAAAAAAATTTAAAAAATGCTTAATACGGCTAAAAAAGCTTAATGAAAACTTAGTTTTAAATTATAGAAAATGTACCTAATTAAATTCAGGTATATACAATTTAAACAAATAGTGTGGGGTGTGTAATTCACAATTTGAACTTTTGATCTAATCCCCTAATGTAACTTTATACAGAATGTCTTGTTTCTCTTCATTTTACAAAAGTTGGCTTTTGTTCTGTCACTTCTCTGCACTTTTTCTCATTAATAACAGACTAATACAGACCGGTCTGATTAAGATAACTCAGATCACTAGGGAGAAGTAGGAGGGGCCACAGGAGGAGTTTGCTGAAGCAATTGTGGACTGCAGTCCAGGACCGGATTGGTTGAGCTGAATGCCTCCAGAGCCAATGGAAATAGAGAGCTGGCTCTCTCTCTCTCAGACTCTGGCTCTGAGGCTCTTCCTCCTCAAGGATGCTTGAATGATAGTGCTGCAGCTACCTGCATTTCCCAAGGACAGTATTTTGTATGGGAAAGAACTCTCGGCACAGCTTAGGATCAGGCTGGCCTCACAGAGGGTGGCAGTTTTATTCTTTGGATGTTCTAGAGGGAACAGGCTCTGAGGTAGAAGTCAGCCATTCTTCCAAAATTGTGTAGTTTTTGTGTATTATGTTGTTTTTAGTTTGTAAATAACCCTATAGAAACAAGATAAAAACAGGGAAACAGCTAGGAGAACTCAGGTGTTAGAGTTTAGCTTTAAGGATAGGCTTAAGTGATTAATGCTGTGATTTGATAGGCTTAAGTAACTACGTTGGAATAAAGATTCCTTTCCTTCATCATCAAACCTCTGCCTCTGGAATTTTTGCCTAGAGGGAGGTGTGGGGCAGCAGAACCCTAAGTACTGTTTGGTAACAATACTTCATGTTAGCTTACAGATACTGTATGAGTCATACTTTTAGTATTAAAGTAAAAAGTTTTATTTAATATAAAAATGTTAAACACTCTTCCTTTAAAGTATGTATTAAAATAACTTAGGAAGTCCAGTCAAATCCCATAATGGTCTGTTAGGTAATCTAAGACTGCTGTTGTGCTTGACAAAGCATTAAAAACTCTTTTCTCTTGCCTTGAAGTTATCTTTTCCATCATGTACATTAAGTGTTGATGGAAACACATATAAGGAGTTCCAAGTTCAAGAGCAAGGTCAACCCAGTCCCAGATGCATTTCAGAGGGGTTTCCTCATATCCAGCAAACATGGCCGGGTTTGCTAAGAGTCCTCTTGCAACCATCACACCTACAAATTAAAGCACATCACATTTATCCACACATTAAGAATTCACAATTACAAGGTCAAACTCAAACAAACAGAATATTAAAAAAAAGGTAGGGGAGTGGACTGGGATGGAAGTAAGAGACAGAAAACTGTACTTGAACAACAATTAAAATAAATAAATTAAAAAATTAAAGTAGTATCACAAGGTTTTACAATGCTCTTATATTAGTCTAATTCAATTATAATACAATTTATTTTGACAGTTTTTATAAACCCAGAAAGTTTAAATTTACAAGTATTCTTTATTTTATTAAGACTTCTACATTAATTAATCTTGAAGATTTTTGTTAAGGGTAAATCCAAACTGTCATAAATTGGGCTTGCTTGAAGTTAAGTTTATCTGTATTCTCCCCCTTGGCAATAGGTATCCAAGGGCTTGGTATGCCCGTACTTTAAGAGGATAATGAAACTCCATAGCAGTCTGGGGTTCTTTCCATTTCTATGACTACTCTTGTGTCACTCTCAATTCTAGTCTCAGTGTTCTATTTTACAAATAGCCTATCTGGAAGATTCTTAACTGGTCACTCACTCGATATGATGGTGGCAGTAGAGTAATTAAATTTACTCCCATTAAAATAACCTATTGTTTCCACCCTGGCCAGTGTGGCTCAGTTGGTTGGGCGTGGTTCCCTCAGTAGAAGGGTCAGGGGTTTGATTCCAGGTCAAGGCACCTGCCTAGGCTGTGGGTTTAACGCTGAGTCCGTTATGTATGTATGAAAGACAACCAATCAATGCTTCTCCCCCTCTCTTTCTCCCTCCCTTCCCTTCTCTCTAAAGTCAATAAGCATGTCCTCAGGTGAGGATTATAAAGAATAATGAAATAATTGATTGTTTCTAAGTAGAAGAGTTTTAACATCATTTTAATAAACTGCTTAGCTTAAAACCGGTATAAAAGTACAATTTAAAGAAATTGTACTTTTAAAGAAAGATAATGAAAACATTAACATGATTCTCCCATCCCAACTTTATTTGCTAGTTAAAAGTCAAAAATTCAAGTACTTATTTCTTACCATCTGTCCCAGTAATATGCCATACATTTTCTGCTTCTTTTAAGCTTCTGATGTCTCCATTAGCAATGACAGGTATAGACATATTTTCCTTAATTATTTTAATGGCTTCATAGTGAACTGGTTGATGTCTTTCTTCAACAGTTCTCCCATGGACTGTAATCCAGGAAACACCTGTTGCTTCAGCCTTTCGACAAAGATCTACAGTTCTTGTCAGATCATCATGGATCCTGTAATTTCAAAATTATATCTCTTTTTATAGCAAACAAATCAAAGCTAAAATTAATAATATTTTGTATAAAACATTATTTAGTTAGTTTTGCTGTATTATATTATCACTACATTCCACTATCACTAAGGTTTTTTGCTCAGGGATCAGTTCCCTTTTAAGATTTCGAATTTAGCTGTTTTGCTATTGGGAACAATAGGATGACAAGTTTTATCCTACCCAGTGCTCCTCCCCTTTGGCTTTTGTAACTAAGTCATCCAAATACTGTCACACATGAATTGAAAGATGCTATCCTAATATCTGCTGTACACACTCCACCCCCAAGGTGGGAGAATATACTATTTTATCTCGAAACATGTGTTTAATTTGTCACCAAAAAACTCATTCCTGGTTTATTTTCTTTCCATTGTGGAATTTTTTTGTGCAAATACCATTCCTATTTTCTACTCTTGGTACCAGGAATGTTTCTTAGCATTAATTACATAGCACATAGAAAAAGTTGAGGATTTCTTTCCAGGGGAAGTTTTTAGTGATAAAGGGATGTTTTCATTTCTGTTAAAAAATACAAAGATGAAGTTGTTCTGGATTATAAATAAAAATTAAGGTATATATCCATTTGCTAAGTATCTTGTTTCAACACTTCCATGTACCCAGCTACAAATTAAGGATATGAACACCAGATGGAAGGAATACTCTTTTATTTCCTAAGAATTACCTGTCAATAGATTAAAATATTGTCTTTACCTTATTTTAATAGATACTGAAAATCTGGGATTTTCCACTTGATTTCTTACTTGTTTCACCATATCTTGAACAAGCTCTGGTTTGTTTATTAAGCAAGCTCCATAACCATCTGCCATTGACCACCTTTATAAAGCCAACATAACAAATAAATTGTAAATAGTAGAAGAGAAGATATAATTCTAAAGACACTGTAAATGCATCTGTATAGTAATCTGGAATGGGATCAGATTTTTACAATTCATAAACCCAACATTTCTAAGTGGATCAACTTAAGATTAGGTAAACACGTTCTCAGACCAAAAAGTACTTAGGGGAAAATGGTTTTCATTGGCAAGTGAGAAAGTTAAATTAGCATCCATTCAACCAAAACAGATTTAAGTATTTGTAACTAACTGCAATTATTTCAGATTTTTTAAATTTCAAATTTGATGTTTATTGTACATAACAAGAGGTTTTATTAGTCTCAACAGTAGAGATATAATTTTGGCTTACAGCATTCCAACACCAGTAAACAGCTTATTTAACTCTCCTAATGAGTATACAAATATGTCTAATCTAATTTGGATTATGCTCTACTTAAAACTTTGATTTTATTATTTGGACACATTTTGAATTACTGCCAGATAATTTAGTACAATGTCAGAAACACAGGGATATTATTGTCAAATTAAGTATATCTATCGATACCTAATCATTCAGAATCAACCAAAAAACTGTGGTATAGAAAAAAGTATAAGAAAGTATTTTTATAAAAAAATTAATTAGGAGAAAATAAATGGTGAGCTCCAATATCACAGAATCGTAGTCTCTCTAAACCAAGGATATCTAACATGGCAGTAAAAATACCTTTAAGAAATTACTATAAACATTAGCATCTCAGTAAATACTTATGAATGAGGTTTAAGGCAGATCCACAGATTAAAACCATTCTGGTGGTGAGGTAAGCTAAAACAGTTGTCAAGTGTCTACACACTGTTTTAGCCATCAAAACCTACTACTGCATATATGTTCCTAAATAATCTTTCCTTATTGTTTCTTGCTTTTTATTTAGAGCCCAAGAGCTTTAACTCTATTTTCCTTATGTTTTAATTCTTGGAAAACTAGAAAGGTAGTTTACCATGTCACATAGTTTTTTTTCTAATCTTTTTTGAAAATTCTTCCAACTTCTTTGAGCTTTACCTCTGAGGGCAACCACAGTTAATGTCTATTCCATTTGCATAAGGACAAACTATACGAGCAGCATCAGATAAAAGCTTTGCATCATTAGCAGCAAACTGAACAATCAGTGGGCAATCACCTGATAAAACAAATAGTTCAACGTTAAAATTCGCAGAAACACATGTATGATACCAAACTCTAGTGTTTGTACAATATAAAATAACTTTCTTAGCCTAAGAAATATATCTCTTCAAACAAGATAGCATTAAAATAACTTTAAATATTTTAAATTAAAAACAATTTACATTTAGTACAAATTCAACAGTATAAAGTTTTGTAAAATGAAAAGTACAACACTGTTGACAGACCCCTTTTCCAATGGTGAGAACTAGTTATTGTATTCCAGAACAATTTTATGTATACCTGTAAAATTTAAACGAATGTGTACATTTTATGCACATTGCTATGTCTACTGCTTTCTTTTAAATCTGATGTATCTGGGAGACTTATTTCCCTATTTTTAGAGGCATATTCCAATGTGTGCAGATGGATCCCACAGCGCACTTCTAGTTTTTCACTTGCGGCCCTTGCAAACACTGTGGTGAGGATGCTCTTACACACATGCTGTGAGTATATTCACTGGGTAAACTCCCAGGCCTGTAAGTATTGAATGAGCATCTAACATTTTGATCTTGGACTCTCCATATTCTTTGAATATTTTTCTATGCACAATTTTCTTTTATTTTCCTTATTTTCCCCTTATTTTCTTATTAATTTTGAAAGCAATGAAATTGGCTCTATCATAAGTATAAAAATATTTCCCCAGTTTTAGTTTGCCTTTGAGTATATTTGTGCTCTTTTCTTACATGTAAAAGTTAAAATTTTAAAATAGCTAAATGTATCTGGCCTTTCTTAGGTTTTAAGGACAATTTTTTTCATATTTTGGTTAGTGTTATAAACTCCAAATAGATGTATTTTAATTTTTCTAAAGACTTTTTGATGACTACCTGTATGAGATTTACTGTGTGTTTGCCAAAATGCAGATTTCTGTATATCACCCTAGTTCCACCATTTATAGTATTATCACGGGATCAGAGAATTTGCTTTCTCCTGAGGATGTAGGGTGTGTTTTCCTCTGCAACTCAAGAGTTACATTCCTTTATGGGTCTAATATATTTCCAACACTGTGCTAGAAGTGGAGGGTACAAGTCAGTAAGAAAGAGTTCCAGGCCTCAAGGAGTTCATAGTCTAGCAGGAGAGACAGTTATTTAAAGAGGAAATTATAACACAGCAGGATTCAGTACAACATAAAGCCTGTGCATCAAAGAATGGCCATGAGTGGAGGATGTTTAGGGAATTATCTTGGCCACAAAATTCGAGAGCTGGATAAAGAAGCATTAAGGGTCATTTGGCAGAGAAATGGGGACATAGGGGATTGACATGACTGTGACATGTTCTTACCTAGAACAGTAAGATGTTCTATGTAGAGAAGTATGAGAGAACAGGGCATGTTCAAGGACTCTAAATAACAGTATTTGTCAATAATAAAGTCAGTGGGCTCTGGTGAAAAACTAATGAAAGCTAAAGCTACAGATGTATTTAGGACTAGATCATGAGAAATGTTATATATTACTCACAGGTGCTGGAATTTTACTCTTTAGGTCAGTGGTTCTCAAGCTTAGAATCATCTGGAGGGCATTTTAAAACAGATGGTCGGACCACATACCCCAAGTTTCTGATTCGGTTGGCCTGGAGTGGAGCCTAGGAATTTCCAGTTCTCACAAATTTCCAGATGATGCTGATGCTCCTGGTCTGGAGCTCATTTTAAGAATCACTGGTTTAGGCAATGAGAGATCTAAGAGATGTGATCAAATTTATGTTTTAGAAAGGTCACTTTGGGGTGTTGGGGGATAGTCTGCAATGGGACAAGACTGGGGGCATTGTGATAGGAATCTAATCGAAGAGTCCAGGTGAGAGAAGGGGGCCACAGGGAAGGCTAACCTTACACTGTGTATGCCATCCAAAGTTTGAAGACACTCAGCAAAAAGATACTTAAAAAGAAACTTATATTAAAAACATAAAAAAACTAAAATACTTTTAAAATAAAATCTCAGAATTTGTTGTCTCTGATTAGACAAGATGGTTGAGTTCTTTTTCCTTTTTAAATTCTACCACGTCAGCAAACTCTGAGTTTCACGTACCTTGGTTTGTGGTAAATTCGCTGTCTCTGGCTTTTACAGATCTGACAAAATCAGCAGCAACTATCATTGGTGTGTAGCACAGATCACAACTGTACTTTCTGACTAGTGTTCTAAAAGCCAACCTGTAAACGGGTAAGACTTTAATTAGGCATTTAGAAATCACCACAATCATATGCACTTCCAAGTTTAATTCAGTTAATTATTAAATACTTACTAAAGGAAAGTTCTGCCCATGGGAAGGTGGAGATATACTTTTCCCTGTACTTTGTGTTTAGTGTAACTAAAAATCCTGGATGTTATATGTAAAATGAAGATAAGAAAACTCTGAAAGGTGGAGAGAAGAGAGTAAGACAGTGACCTTAGGACCTGAGGAATAAAAATAGTGAGTTCCCTGGGTTTTCTTTTTCCTTCAAATAACCCAGACCTGGAGCTCAAGAAGCTGGCATTGGGTGCAGACAAAACAGCCCCAACAAAAGTTTGCTCTCCCTAACCAAACAGCCAGGGAAGGGGCAGCCTAGAAAAACAGAAAACTTTAAATAGCAGCTCTACCCAACCAAACACTGAAGAAAAAGAAAAGTTATGGTTCCACCTCTGCAAAGGTTGAGTGGGAGCCTAGATTTCTACCATTTCAAGGCTGTAACAATGTTCTCTCTCTAACACCCCTCCAAGACAGTATCGGAAAAGGCCAGGTAGGCAGTTAGGACTTTAATCCCTGCTTCCAAGTAATGATGTGTCCCTTGTGGCATCAGTGGAGACCTCAGGGGGAGCCTGGATTCCCACACCGACCCAGCAGCAGTGAGGCAAGGCACCCTTCTCCCCACACTAGGAGTAGTATCAGAGTGTGCACTGTGAAGAGCCCACACTTACTTTCATCATCACCCAGTAGTTACCAGGCCACCCGTTCCATGGGGAGCTGGAACTCTCACCCCTGCTGCACAGTAAGGAGGAGACCCCTGCCCTCAGACTGTGAAAGGAGACCAAGTGACAGAAACTTGGTTTCCTCCTCCACCTGATTGTGATGAAGTGGTACCTCATCTTTCCCCTGCTGTGGTAGTGTCAGAAAAAAAAAAACCAGATACTGTTTTTGAATCAATACTCACTGATTCAAGACTCAGAATCAATGTAATCCACTATATCAATAGGCTAAAGAAAAAAAACATATTATATCAATTGATGCAAAAAAAAACCATTTGACAGAATAACTCATTCGTGATAAAAAAATGCAGAAAAGCAGGAATAGAAGGGACCTTTCTTAACTTGATAAAGAGCACCCACCAAAGGTCCTACAGCTAACATTATACTTAAAGATAAAAGATAACTGACCTCCTAGATTCAGAAAAAGGGAAATAGAAAAAAATACAATAAAGATAAAATTAAAATTAAAAATTTTTTAAATAAATAAATTTAAAGAAGGCAAAGATATCTCCTCTCATCATTCTTATTTAAAATAGTATTAGAAATTCTAGTCAGTGTAGTAAGGCATGAAGAAAAAACCCAAAACAAAAGGCATATGATGGAAAGGAAGAAATAAAACTGTCCTTATTTGCAGATGACATGATTGTTTACATATATACTTCCAAAGAATTTACCAAAAATCTCTCCTAGAACCGAAAAGTGAGTTCAAGTTTCCAGATACAAGATTAACATATGAAAATCATTTTTATTTCTATCTACCGCAATTAACACATGGACACTGAAATTAAAAGTATAATACCATTTACAATCACTCAAAAAAATTGGGTGTAAGTTTAACAAAAAAACATATGAAACTTACACGCTAAAAATTATACAACACTGATGAAAGACATCAAACAAGATCTAACTAAATCTTGACATACTGTATTCATGAGTTGGGTGAGACAGCATGGTAAGGAATTTAATTTCCTCAAAGTTGATATGAATATTTAACACAATTCTTCCTTCAAGATATTTTATACATACCAACCAAGATCATTATACAATTTAGGCTGGCAAATGAACTAGAATAGCTAAAACAATTTCGAGAACAAAAGGAAAGTGAGAGGTGGACTCAGTCTACCTGATCTCAAGATTGACTATACACCTAGTAATAAAGACTGTGGTGCCGGTGGAGGAATACACACAGAGATCAACAGAACAAGAATAGAAAATCTAGATATAGAGCGATACAAGCATGCCCCACTAATTTTTGACAAAAATGCAAAAGTAATTCAACAGTGGAAAGACAGCCTTTTCCATAAATGGTGCTGAAGTAATTAGATGTCCATAGGCAAAGAAAATGACCCTTAACTAAGTCTCGCACTTACAAAAAAATAACTCAAAATTGATTAAAGTTATTAAGACTTTTAAATGAAAAAAAAAACAGGAGAAAATCTTAAGAATCTAGAGCTACGCAAAGATTTGTTATACTTCACACCAAAAGCACAATTTACAAAAGAAACAACTGATAGATTAGACTTAATCACTAAATAAAAACCTTTTGTTCTGCAAAAGACAATTAAGAAGATGAAAATATGATCTACATACTGGGAGAAATATTTGCAAACCACATATCTGACAAGGGTATTATCTAGAATATACAGAGAACTCAAAACTCAATAGCAAACAGAAACTCAAAAACAAAAGAACAAACAACCTGACCCCAAATGGGAAAGGACTTGATTAGATATTTCTCCAGAGAAAACATACAAACAGCCAAAAGAACATTAAAAGGTGCTCAACATTGCCATCTAATTACAAATCAAAAGCACAGTGAGGTACTACTTCATATCCATTAGGATGAGCATCATAAAAACAAAAACAGCGTTGCTGATGATGTTGATACATTAGACTCCTGTGCACTGCAAGTAGGAATCTAAAATGGTACAGCCACTATGAAAAACAATATGGAGTTTCCTCTAAACCTAAAAATAGAATATCCATATGATCCAGCAATTCCACTCCAGGGCAAATACCCTGAAGAATTAAAAACAGGGTCTCAAAGAGGTATTTATACTACCATATTCACAGCAGCAAACTTTTGGCAAAAGCCAAACTATGGTAACCCAAGTGTTCATTAATAAATGACTTTAATGGGTATAGAGGTGCAGTTTTGTAAAATGAAAAGTGATTGGATGCAAAACAATATGAAGGTATTTCACAGTACTGAATCATACACTTAAAGATGTTTAAAACAATAAATTTTGAGTTATATGTATCTTGTCACAATTAAAAAATTTTTAAAAACCAACTAATAAAAAAGCAAACAATTAGAATATTACCAAAGACAAAAACATTTCTTCAATAATACACAGATGGCAAAGAAGAACATGAAAAGATGTTCAATGTCATTAGACACACAGGAAGTAGGAATCAAAAAACCATGAAATATCACTACAAACCTATCAGTGGGGCTAAAATAAAAACAACGACATTATGAAAAGTTGGTGAGCAGGAGGAGAGGAAACCAGATCCCTCGTATATTGTTGGTCAAAGCATAAAACAGTGAAGCCACCCTAGAAAAGTCCAGCAGTCTCTTAAAAAAGTAAACATATGTAACTACCATATGACCCAGGACATGCAGTCCTGGGGAATTGTTCTAGATTAAATGAAGACTTATGCTCACACAAAAACCTGTGCATGAATGTTTATATTTATTTAATATCCATTATATCTTTATAGGTGGGAGCTATAAGCACTACCATTTTTATAGATCTAAAAATCAAGCTTGGAGAGGTTATTTACTCAATGCCACCTACACACTTGACAAGTGGCCCAAGCCAAGTTCAGATGACAAAGCTTGGTGTTTGAAGATGCCATGTGGTAAGGTGATCTTTTAAAACGTCAGAGCATAAAAAGGAAATCATCATGTAACAATACTTACTTTGAATATCGAACCATTGGGGCAGAGACTTTAACCAGCTGCCCAGAATGAAGCATTTCTACTGGATCTTTTCTTCTTTCTTGACATACTGTGGTTTGTATGCAGTCTTTCTTCATAGACACCGTTTTGTTTCAAATCTGAAAAAAAAATCAATCAGTTTACATAGAGAAAAGTTACCTTTCATTACATGGATTCCTATCATTCTAATAATTTCATTAGGCTTGTGGGATCAGAAAGCTTTCCTTGTTTATCTTCACCTGAGAACATTTTTAAAATCCTTTCTGCTTTCTTAAAGATTTTACTTATTTATCTTTATAAAGAGGGGAAGGGAGAAAGAGAGGGGAAAAAAGAAACACTGATGAGAGAGAAACACTGACAGGCTGCCTCTCATATGTGCCCCGACTGGGGACAAACCTGCAACCAGCACCTGCCTGACAGGGAAGCGAACTGGCAACGTTCCATTGTGTGGACTGATGCCCAACCAACTGAACCACATGAGTCAGGGCCTAAGGATATTTTTTCATTTTCATTGCTTTTAGAGAGAGTGGAAGGAAGGGAGAGAGAAAGAGAGAAAGAAAAGGAGGGAGGAAGGGAGAGGGAGGCAGAGGCAGAGGTGGGAGACAATGTGAGAGAGAAACACCAATGAGGTGTCTTCCATACCCACAACCTAGGCATGTGCCCTGACTGGAAATTGAACCTGCAACCTTTCGGTGTATAGGATGATGCTCCAATGGAGCCACACGAGCCAGGGTGGGATCAGAAATCTTCTTAACTTCTTTTCACAGTATCAAATGTGATACCACAAAATTCTATCTCTACAAGTCACTGATAGTTTTTAGCACAATGAGAAATTATGATGTTTATGTTCTGTACAGATTAGTCTTGTTTATATCAAACACTAATGGTTTAAAATTATATACTTAACTCATTACAGTAATGTGTTCTGCTCAAATTAATAAATAATCGAGAAGTGGAAAACTACAAGATTTCTTTCATAGTATACCCTATCATAACTTTTCATGTTATTTTTAAAAAGATTTTATGTATTTATCTTTAGAGGGGAAGGGAAGGAGAGAAGGTGAGAAATATCAACGTATAGTTGCCTCTCATGCGTCCCACGCTGGGAGCTGGCTTGCAACCCAGGCATGTGCCTTGACTGGAAATAGAACCATGATCCTTTGGTTTGCAGGCCCGCGCTCAATCCACTGAGCTACACCAGCTTGGGCTCATGTTATTTTTTAATTTAAATTTTTGGCAATGAGGACTGGTCTTCTGACCAAGATGAAGGCATAGGTGGAAACACTGTACCTCCTTGCACAACCAAGTTTATGAACAACAAATATTTAAAAACCAGGATGCAACCAAAACAGAGAAAATTAAACTATCAAAGTCTGACAACAACGAATCATTCATCCAGGCTGGTAAGAGGGGCGGAGTCAGTGGCTGGCAGAGAGGGGTCCTGCAGGAAAAAGCCACCAGACCGACCCAGGTGCACAGGCAGCGGCTGGCAGATCCCAGGCCTGGGGTGGCAACAGGCAGACCCAGTGAGGGTGCAAGGCAGCTGGCTGACCGCAGTCACACATTCGCACGCAGATAAACCAGGCAAAGGAGTGAGCAGTGAGATACACCGCACAACCCAAGACCCCAGCACCGGGAAATAAAGCCTAAAAGCACCAATTGGAAAAAGCTTTCTGGGGTCGAGGCGCCAGGAGAGGCTCCCAAACTCACAGAGAATTCGTTGGAGAGACCCACAGGGTTCTGGAGGGTGCACGAGTCTACACATCAGGAAACTAGCACCAGAAGGACCCAATTTGCTTGTGGGAATCAGCAGAGGGGACCTAAACGGAGAGCAGAAAAAAACGCCATTGCCCCTCTCTGACCCCGCCCCTACATACAGCATCACAACTCAGCAACTGGGTTGCCCCACCCTGGTGAATGCCTGAGGCTCTGCCCCTCATACATAGCAGGTGTGAACAGACCAAAACATTATGGCTCAAGCAGAAGAACAGCTCAAAGCCCCAGAGCCAATATTTCTAAGTGACAAAGAGATAGCCAACCTATCAGATGCACAGTTCAAAACACTGGTGATCAGGATCCTCACAGAACTGGTGGATTTTAGCTACAAATTAGAGGAACAAATGAAGGCTTCACTAAGTGAAACGAAGCAAAATGCACAGGGAAACAATAGTGATGGGAAGGAAACTGGGACTCAAATCAATGGAGTGGACCAGAAGGAAGAAAGAAACATTCAACCAGAACAGAATGAACAAACAAGAATTTAAAAAAATGAGGAGAGGCTTAGGAACCTCCAGGACATCTTTAAACATTCCAACATCCGAATTATAGGGGTACCAGAAGGGGAAGAGGAACAGCAACAAGTGGAAAACTTATTTGAACAAATAATAAAGGAGAACTTCCCCAATATGGCAAAGGAAATAGACTTCCAGGAAATTCAGGAAGCTCAGAGAGTCCCAAAGAAGGTGGACCCAAGAAGGAACACACCAAGGCACATCATCATTAGATTAGCCAAGATTAAAATGAAGGAGAGAATCCTAGAAGCAGCAAGAGATAAGGGGACAGTCACCTACAAAGGAGATCCCATCAGACTGTCAGCTGATTTCTCAAAAGAGACCTTACAGGCAAGAAGGGGCTGAAAAGAAGTATTCCAAGTCATGAAATCCAAAGACCTACATCCAAGATTGCTGTATCCACCAAAGGTATCATTTAGAATGGAAGGGCAGATAAAGTGCTTCTCAGATAAGGTCAAGTTAAAGGAGTTCACCCCCACCAAGCCCTTATTTTATGAAATGTTAAAGGGACTTATCTAAGAAAAAGAAGTTAAAAAATCATGAACAGTGAAAGGACAGCAAACTCACAGTTATTAACAACCACACCTAAAACAAAAGCAAACTAAGAGGACAGCTAGATCAGGAGCAGAACCGTAGGAATGGTGATCACATGGAGGGTTAGCAACAGGGGAGTGGGAGAAGAAGGGGGAGAAGGTACAGAGACTAAGTAGCATAGATGGTAGGTAGAAAATAGATGGGGGGAGGACAAGAATACTATAGGAAATGTAGAAGCCAAAGAACCTGTGACACATGGACATAAACTAAAGGGGGGCACGGGGGGAGGGGGTGTGTAGAGTGGAGGGGAACGAAGTAGGGGAAATGGGACAACTGTAATGGCATAATCAATAAAACATATTAAAAATAAATTTTTGGCAATGATAAACAAAGAAATTTGACTGGCATCATTTTACATACTGTAAATGTAAGCCTGGCACTTTGAAATACCTTATTTTATCCAGGAAATTTAAATGGCATTAATTGAACAACTTTAAGTAGTTAGCATTTCAAAAGATAAGACTGGTGTGTTTAATGTTTATTCTTACTCTCAAATTCTATTCTTTGTACCTGAATCACAAGGCAAAAACAAACAAAAAAAACCCCTTTATTCCTAAAAACTTAAATGTAGTATTATCTACTGTTAATTTCATGAAATATATATAATTGCCTAGTAAGTTACTTTTCTTCCCAAAGAGGAACAAATGATTAAATTAGGCAGTTAACAGTATTTTACAGTTGCTACTATACTTAAAATCTTATAACTGCACAATGCTAGTTTCTTTTCATATTTCAGTTTTTGGTCTTAATAACTTAGAAACAGATATGGGCCAACTTTAGAAAGGCTGACTTGATGAACATGCAAGTTTTTATTTAGCTAATCCTGAAAGTAGAGATATAACCTAAATATAAACCAATCACTGTAATTTTCTTAGGTGGAATGTATAGTTAGAATATGATAAACTAGTTTTACTAACCACTGTTAAATAAACCCAACTTAATAAAAATTTGGACAAAATTACTGGCATCTTATCTTTTCATTACCTTTTTAAAATTACCTTTTATATTTCAATTACAGTTGACGTACATTATTGTATTAGTCTCAGGTCTACATCCCAGTGATTAGACATTACATAATTAAGTGAATATCCCAATAAATCTTGTACCCATCTGACACCATCAATAGTTATTAGAATTTTATTGACTATATTCCCTATGCTGTACTTTCCATCCCCATGATTACTCTGTGATAAACAATTTGTACTTCTTAATCTTTTCACTTTTTCACACATCTCCCCTAACCCCTCCTATCAACCATCAAAGTGTTCTGAGTCTGCTACTGTTCCACTTGTTTTTTATTTTAATTTCTACTTATTTTTAACAGAGTTGAGAGAGAGGAAGGGAGGGAGGGAGTTAGGGGGAAAAATAAAAAAGAGAACATTGATTTGAAAGAATTATCAATCGGTTGCCTCACATATGTGTCTCAACTAGGGAATCAAACCAGCAACTTGTTGGTGTACAAAACAATGATCCAATGAAGTGAGCCACCTGGCCAGGGTTATTTTGTTTTTTAGATTCAACTGTTGATACATATGTACTTATTGCCATTTTACTGTTCAAATATTTGATCTATTTTTTTCTTTTTAAAGAACATTTCATATAATACTGGCTTGGTGGTGATGAACTCCTGTAGCTTTTTCCTGTCTGGGAAGCTTTTTATCTTTCCTTTGATTCTAAATTACAGCTTTGCTGGGTACAGTAATCTTGGTTGTAGGTCCTTGTTTTTCATCCCTCTGACTGTTTCTTGCCTGTCCTTTCTGGTCTGCAAAGTTTCTGTCCAGACTCAGCTGAGTTTTAAGGGAGCTCCGCTGTAGATAATTAAATGCTCTTCTTCTGCTACTTTTAAGATTCTTTGGCATTGTAATTATGATGTGTCTTGTGGGCCTCTTTGAGTTCACCTTGTTTGGAACTCTCTGTGCTTCCGGGACTTGCATGTTCCCTTCTTTCACAAGGTTAGGGAAGTTTTCTATCGTTACTTTTTCAAATAGGGTTTTAGTTTCTTGGTGTCTCTTCTTCTGGCACAACCATGATGTAAATGTTGGTGCGCTTGAAGATGTCCTAGAGGCTCCTTATACTATCCTCATTTTGGGGGGATTCTTTTTTCTTTTTGCTGTTCTGACTAGGTGTTTTTTGCTTCCTTATATTCCAAATCACTGATTTGATCCTTGGCTTTATCTACTCTACTGTTGATTCCCTGTAAATTAGTTTTCATTTCAGTTAGTGTATCCTTCATTTCTGACTGGTCCTTTTTTATGCTGTTGATGTTCTCATTAAGTTCCTTGAGCATTCTTATAACCGGTATTTGAAACTCTGCATCAAGTAGATTGCTTGTTTCCATTCTGTTCAATTCTTTGAGTTTTGTTCTGTTCTGTGTCTTTTCATTTTGGCCACCTCCCTGTATTCATTTCCATATATTAGGTAGAGCTATGTCTCCCAGGCTTGGTAGGGTGGCCTAATGTAGTGGATGTGGGGTTTGGTGACAGCTTTCCTAATCACACAAGCTAAGAACTCAAGGTGTGCCCCCTCTGTGGGCTGTGTACATCCTCCTGTTGCAGTTAAGCCTTAATTGTTGTTGGTACATCAGTGGGAAAGATTTATCTCCAGGCAGGTTGGCTGCAAGAGGAACTGCCTGCAACCACCAAACACTGACCTGCAAAGACCAGGAGGATCAGCTGTGCAGGGGCACACTCCACAGAGCAGAACTTACCTCAGTGGGGCTCTGGTGCCTGATGAGTCCTTCCCTTCAGTGTGTCACTTGTGTAGGTGGTTGGTGGTGGTGCTTCAATGTGATCTGAAGCTGTCCACTGGTGCACTGGTTCTGGGTCTGCGAGGAGGTGTAGGCTAAGCTCAGTTGCCATCTGTGTTTTGGCTGGGGCCACCCAGCATTAGCCACAAAGAGATCTACAAAAGGCTGCCACTTGTGCTGAATTTAGTGGTGCACAGGTGAGGCCAAGCTGCAAACCAAGCCTGGCTGCTACTAGTGCCAGGCCTGGGGCCACTTAAGAGGTACAGAGCACACTGAGGCCAGATGCTGCTTTTTTGACCTAACTAATTAGGTCTGCAGGCTAAGTCAAGACAGGCTATTTGCATGAAAAAGCCACTGGAAACAGCTTGGGTCAGGCAGAAAGCTGGGAGCAGTGGGCCCTTGAGGAATCACCAGGGTGGGGCGAGCAGTATTAGCCAGGTTGATGGAATCTCAGATACAGCTGCCTGCCAGCTTTGTGTGGGGAGGGGTCATCAAAGGAACAATGGCTTCTGCTAGCACTTCTGTCTGGGACATGGCTGTTCCCAACCCAGTTTTTGTCCTGATGCTGGGTAACTGATTTCCTCCCTATATGTGTTTGGTGCCTTTCAAGTAGCTGCCCAGGGCTGGAGCTCACATGGAGTCATTTTGAGTACATCTGTGCATGAACCTTTTAAGAGGAACTGCCTGGGACTCTATTGTCCCTGTCTCCCTCAGCCTTCACCCCTACTGATTTTTACAGCCAGAAGTTATGTGGACTTCTCTTTCTGCCACTAAAACCCTGGGCTGGGGGGCCTGGTGTGAAGCTGGGACCCCTCCACTCCTCCGGGTAGCTCTATAGACAATATCCCTCCTAATTTCCATCTGCCACACATGGGTGTGTGGCCAGTCTGTGCAAGTCTCCATTCCTCCTACCAGTCTTGATATGGCTTGTTCTTTAATTTACTATTTATAGGACTTCCATTCAGCTGGATTTTAGGCAGTCCTTAATGATGGTTGCTTTGCAGTTTAGTGGTTGTGAGGAGAGGCAAGTTACCGCACTTACCTCTGTCACCATCTTGACCTTTATTATCTTTTTCATAATAAAGATTCATTAGAATGATGTAAGAAACATATATAAAGCATAAATAACAAAACAGTTATTTATACTTTTACCAGCTACCAGTCAAACCTGTTTCTTTTCTCCTGCATTTCATATCTTGGTTATACCATCACTGTTTCCCCCTATTCACTCAAGGCAGAAGTCTAGGGTTTTCCCTCCTTCTCCATCTCCCACAAGAGTGTTAACCAAGTGGTACCTTTAATTAATCGTTAAGCACATCTTCGTTGCCCCTCTCTGTACATACTCATAATCCCTGTTCCTGACAGTCTTTTGAAACACCAGATAGAGTTGATCCTACTAACCCACTACACCCATTTCTCTGTAATGTCATCATGTGTATTTGCAATTATTTTTATAGGTATAATAACACCTACCTATCTCTTCATGAGTTTTTGAGGGCATGGACATGTATTTATTCATTCAACAAATACTAAGTTCCTAGTAGATGTTGGAAATACAGATGAAAATATGTTCCCTAAGTCCTTAAAAACATATTAGAAATACACAAAACAATAGCTCAGAAACACACAGGCACACACTCACAATTTAGCCATTGCGTTATTGTCTAGAGAAGTGAGGGAGTCATTCTGGCACTCTGGTTGAAAATCGCTGAAGTAGGGCCTTGGTTCTTAAGCAGTTTTTCTCCTCCATGGGAGATTTTTACATAAGTACTCAACATGCTAACATATGCATGTAACCCATTTCCATGCATGCATCACATATTTCTATACAAGCTGCTCTCCTTGTTACTAGTTGTAACTGAAAATTTTTAGCACGGAAATGACAAGATCAGATTTTTGATTTAGAAAGATTTCACTGGAAGGGGTAGGGATGTTGGCAAAATCAGTAAGGAGGTCATTATAGTAGATCAGGTCATGCATACGTTTCTGATCTGGGACTGTGGGAGAATAGAGAAAAGAGAACAAATTTAGGAGCTATTTAGAAACAACAATAAACTGGCAAAATATTTAGAAGGTGGAAAGCACTTTATGACTGCATGTTACACAGGAAGAAAGAATTCTGGGTGGACAGCAATTTGAATCAATGAAATAAAGAACCAGAAGGAGAAATAGATTTTGGCAGGGAAACATGAGTTCACATTTGAGCACAACGAACTTGAGGTGCTCATGGGATGGATTTTCAGATGGTGATGCTTCATAATTGGTCATATAGATGTAGTGCTAAGGAAAAAGCTAAAGATAGAGATTGAGTCTTTAACCTCTAGATAATAAACTGAATGCACAAACATAGACAACACTTAAGCATGCCTTGCTTGCAAGAGATCCTTCAAAACACCAACATTTAAGTAAAAGAGAAAAAGAATACAAAGGAGGTGTAGATGAACTCTGGAACTGGGAAGAAGAAACCTGAAGACATATTCAAAAACCAAGAGAGGGGAGGGTATTACGAAGGAGGGAGGGGATAAGCATCTTAAACATCATAGAAAAGTTAAGACTAAAAAGTGTGCAGTGGCAACTAGGTCATTAGTGACTTTCGCAAGACAATTTTATTCATATTCATTCTTGTAATTTTGTTTAATAAATTCATAAATCAGTAGCTCTCAACCATGGCTGTAGATTAGCATGATACGGGAAGTTTTTAAGAATCAGGATGCTCAGATCATATTCCAGACCAATTAAACATTTATCTTTGGGCTTAGGACGCTTAGGACTGTTAGAGCTCTCCAGGTGATTTCAATATGCAACCAAGCATAGGGAAAATAAATCCATACAGTACAAAGCACCTGCTTCAACTGCATATTTAAACGTCTCTCCCTTACCCACTAGCTCCTTTGGGATAGAATATGAATTGAGTCTTATGTTTGTAAACTCATGCTGGTAGGTACAGTAGGGGCTCAAAACTCTTCACTAGATGAGCAATACTATGTAAGTTTTCTAAAATTTTTCAATGTAAACACGAAGGGAAGAAAAATAAATTTCATATTTCAAAAATACTGCTTATTAACATTCAAGAATTATTTACGATTTTGCGAATTACGGATAATGAAACCTGAGTCTGAGCACAATGCTCTTGGCAATTGTGTAACCTCAATTTGTGTGACCTCCATTCTGAACCCTCAATTATATTCACACCATGACTGAGATCATTGTGTGATCGCAATCAAATCACAAAATATAATTTCAAACCACGCATTTGAAATTACAGTAGGGAGAAACCTGAGACAAAGAAAAAGCATAATGCAGTGCGTCATGAGACTTGATCACTTGAGCTATTTTAAGTATCGAATGCATTTATAAAGTACTTAGAAGAGCATTTAGCACAAGGTAAATACCATTACTGCACTTTCTGAAACACTCTTAGCAGAATCAAGAGAACCACATAGCTCTGAATAGGGATCCCTGTGTACATAAAGGAAAGGTTGTAATACTCTTTTTTAAATGAAGAAATGCTTAAGTTAACCTTCCTGCATACGTGACTGACCTGTTAATTAATTAGCATTTAGCTTGGGAGAAATCTAGATTAATGAATAATGCAGATGTAACAGAGGAGACGATGACAAGAACTTCATTTTACAGCTAAAGTACTGTTAGTTGAGATATGAAAAAACCCATCAGTTTGTAATATGAAGAAGTACAGCATCATTCACAGCACGTGGGTGAAACGTAGATTAAGTAGAAAAACAGGTCCTGATCTTACAGGACAGAGACTGAGTCTACAACTCCATTTTTCATCGACTCTCGGCTCTCCCTAATTCTCATTATTCATTCTCGGGAACTTTCCTTCCCGATCCTTTCCCCCAGCCTTTCCCCCAGAATTGAGAATCAAGGAGTGGGACAGAGAAAGTTGGGTAACTACTAACTCTCGCCAGCTGGGCCCGTGAAACGCAAGCGAAGCACCCACAAACCCTCTGTTTCCTCTCTGGCCTCCAAGAAGCTCCTGTTCTTAGGGTAAATACTAGCTTTAGCGATAACTGCTGCGGCCACGTTCCGGCGCCCACCTTTACGTCCCTGGAATCACTCAAGCCCCAGTGGCGCGGCGAGAGACGGCAGAAAGCGGCGGCCCCGAGGCTTCGGATTCCCAGGTGGGCTTAAACCCTCGGCGACCGCCTGCTCTGGGACAAACACTGCTCCTGGTCAGGATCCTACCACCTGCTATCTATTAAGTCAATGCTCCCGGCAAGTCCGAAGCCGTGGGCGGGGCGAACGGGCGGCGCCGGGATTTTGCGTCACTACGTGGGAGGGGCAGTCTGCCGCCTACGTCATCACTCCTGGTACCTGCCAACATGGAAGGTGGAGAAGGAGGCGTCGCTTTCGTTGGCCAAGGGGCTCTAGGCCCCCGGGCGGCTGCAGTGACAGTCCGGGAGCTTTTGCAGGACGGTAAGGAGTCGGGGTGGGTCGTAACGTGGGAATGGGGGGATGTCCTGCGCTGCATGTGGGCCCAGGCGGTGGACTCAACCCATCACTTTGCAGAAAGTTTTCCGGTCTGGACGTGACCACTCCCCTCCGCCCGGCCCCCTGGCATCCGGATGCTAGCCTCGCAGACCTTGTTTCTGGGACGTCCGGTTTTTGGTTGCTGCTCATTTCAACTCTGTCCTCCACGTTCCTGGGGCTTCCCTGAAGTCCTGGGACTTCGCAACCGGTTACTGGCGTTGGCAGCCACTGGCAGTTGCTGCAGTTCTTAAGGAAAGGGTGAAGCATCCCATCCCGTGAGAAGTGAGATATAGAACAGATGACAGACACTTAATGAAAGAGGGCGTTATTTTTAAATGGAGTTGGGAACATCCCCTCTGTTAAATCCTTAGACTGCACAGATGGCAGTTTTTGCAGTTCCGTTTATTTCTTTAAAGGCGTTTATCCACAACCATACATGGAAGAGAGTTTGGAGCATTCATTCAACCTGGGATATGCAGTTAGGTTTACTGACAGTTTAGACAGAAATTGCTAGATAGTAGAAGATAAGCTAAACATAGTACATTTGAGAAGCACATTAAATTGTGTTATTCCAGTTAACATGTCCCAAATCTCTTATTCTTTAGAGTAAAGTTCAAATTTCTTAAGACCCTTCTCATCTGTTCTTAATTTTCTTACCAAATTGCCACGTTTTCCCACCTGGTATTAAAATAATTTGATAGTTTAATCTTTCTATTGCATTGTAAAATTCCTTTTTATATTCGACAGTGTTAATATCTTTTTTTACTGTAAAGGTTTATTAAAATGGGACTGACTAAATCATTGTGGTATATAATTTGAAGTTATAAAATAATATCCATGTTATATTAAGTGAAAAAACAAGGCACAGAACTGTGTATAAAATCCAATTTTTTAAGGAGATATAGTTTTTAATACAAACTTGTACATACAGAGTATATGTGAAAGAATAAGAAGAATCTTTTAAGAGTGGTTGCCCTTGTGAAGGAACAAAAAAAAATCAGATGAGAACATGTTTCATCTGATTACCCTTTTGGAATTTTTAAATTTGCATTGTATGTATGGATTTTTTTTTTGGATTGAACACACACACAGATGCATAAGACTCAGCTCAGCTCCATGGATCACAGATTTTGGGGGACAGGGACCAGGCTTTGGAAATTGTTAAATTACCGAGATGATTCTCATGATCAGGCAAAGCATTCATATGGTACTTGCCTCATATTAAAGTGAACGTGTGAGACTATTAACTTTATATTCCAACTAGAAAAGCATATGCGGGGAGTGGGTGAAGGATATATTACAATTTTTTTTCTTCTACAATACTGAGCTCAGAAAAAGTACCCAATAAATATTTTTGATGAGACTAGTACAGAAATATAATTCTATTTTTGTTAACATTTAATTCCAGTTTGGAAGGGTTTTCAAAAATATATTTAACATTTATAGTATTATGGGGCAACTAAAAATTACCACTTTCAATACATGAAATCTATATGTCAAAAAGTGCCAACAATAATTTTTGTTTTTTAAAGGCCATAGGTATGGCTAGACTGCAAAGGGCAAGTGGTAAAGTCCAAATCTAAGACTATAAGACTTAGGGTAAAGTCTTACAGTCTTAGATTTTACCCCTACATGAATGAGTAAAAGTAGCATCTAGAGAAAAATAAAGTGCGTGGATGACGGATTTTAAAGAAGCCCCATTTTATTATGGAGAGCACACAAATCCTCTTCCACACAATGAAAAGTGCTGTTTCCCTTCTCTAATAGCTATGCTTCTTCCATGGTCCCCAGCTTTTGCCTCTATCAGAACTTTCCACGTGGGTTAAAGTGTTTGTAGAGATAGCTGATGCGTTTGTTAAGGTTGTGCAGGTCATCAAAGAACATCCAATTTCTGACCATTTTCTTCTTTCGGATACAATGCTGCAAGTCATTCCCCTTCCAGCCTCGAAGCCACCTGGGCTCCCTGATTAGTTCTTTGGGATGCATTTCAAAATTTCCCAAGATCCCGATGTTATCATACACACTGAACATGGCCCTCTTCTTCTTCCAACGATCAACCGCTTTGTGAGGTGGGACCATGACCCTTACAAAATAAATTCCAGGAACACCCAGAGAGAAGCTTCTGCAGGCCAGGGGCACCCAGCTCCACAGGCGCCTTCCTGTAGCCACAGCGAGGCTCCCTGCCATTGTTCTCGTCTCTCCCCTACAATAGCACACCACCCTAGCACAGAGTGCTGACTAGCCGTGACCATCAAGGAGATGACAAGAACCGCCTGTGCAGGCCTCACATAGGTACTAGCTGGACAAAGCCATTTTGGGCTTTACCCAGGTAGCTCTGCGCCCGACAGTGTTTATATCTTTATCTTGCATAATAAGTGCAGAATAAGTGTTCTTAAATTTTACTTATTTTTTAGAGAGCAGGGAGGGAGGGAGAAAGGGGGAGAAACATCAGTACTGGAGAGAAACAGCCATTGGTTGCTTCTCTTATGCCAGCCTGCAACCTAGACGTGTTCCCTGATTGGAAATTGAACTGGCAATCTTTTGCTTTGCTGTTGACACTCAGCCAGCTGAGCCACACTGCTCAGGACAAATAAGGGTTTTTAAATTGAACATCAAAGTAAGAAGCATATGTCCACATTTGTAGACCACGTAGGTTAAAAACGAATGAAATAAAGTTCTGTAGACAATAAGGGGGCCACATACTAAACTGACAAACTCAGGAGGCCTGTGTAGGACGTTACAAACTCAGAGACCTGAAGTAACCACATGGGATGGTCTAAAATTAAAACTTTGTAACTAAAAGTGAGTCCTGGTGGGTAGCCCTAGGCGGGTATCTTTCTTGACAGAGGTCAACCTTAACCTTAACCTTAACCGTGCCTGTCTATTTTGGCATCCAAGATAACAAACCTTTGGAATGTCAGACTAATCCAGTTCGCCATTGCCATACCCCTCAAGGCACAATCTTCCACCAGAGCTTGGGACCTGAGAACCCATTGTTGTTTTCCCACATAACATCTCTAGGTGCTATAAAGGTTAATTTTCAACTATCCCGTACCCACCAATGTAAAAGTATTTGCCTTTTACTCTTCATCCTGTCTCAGATATTTTCCTGCTTTGCATTCTCCCCCCTCTCTAATCTGTCACCAAGGAATTTTGGGTAACCCCTTTATGTCTTCTTTGATTATGATGTATAAATCAGGTGCAGAACTGTCATTCTCTGAAGTCTCTTCTCAGTCTGTTGATATTTTGCTTTCTGGCATTCGTTAGTTTGGCTCAAATAATTCATAGAAATTCTTACAGGTTTGGATGTTTCTTACATCTGACAGTTCTAAATTTTCTCTGACTGCTGTATATTTTATTATTGTCCTTAACTATTAGCCTTCTCGCAATTTATATATATATATACTTTAGTCAAAACCTACCTGTTGGTGGTGTTTTTTGAACTAGAAGTTATTAGGTTCTGCAGGTTAGATTCTCTCTAGTGCATCTTTGTGTCTTAATTTAAATTCAGTTGGACCAGGTTTTAAGCTCTGATAGACTGAGCAGTTCCCACTCTGAAGTAGCTCACCAATTTAGTAGGGGAAATAGTCTTGTAGAGCTGTAAAGAGAGTCACTGTAATAGAGGGTTGTAAGGGTAGCAGTGAAATTGCGTACAAAGTAAAATAGTAATTCAGAGGAGGGTGATAACTGGAGGTTGTTAGGAGAGTGACAGGGCCGCAGAAGAAGTGGAAGAAACAGCACATGCCAGACATAGGTATATATTTGGTTACACAGGGTTACATGCCAGACCAGAAAGTCTGTTCTGTTTTTTCCGTAAAATAAAAGACACGTTTTTCATTTTCACCAATAACTTGAATATTTTGAGTATGTCACGTATCTCCTACTATTGGCTTCTAGTGAGTAGAGGGGCAAGGATACTGCTAAACATCTTCTAATGAGCAAGACAACTCCACAGCAAAGAATTATTTGGCCACAATGTCAAGAGTACCAAGAAACTTTGCAAAGCACTTTTGACATGTTCTGTCAGGCACAGCACCTTCTCCATAGGCTGCTCAAATCGTTTTTGCATTTCAGTTGCGTTTTTACCTTTCTTGAAATCATAAAACGTAACACACTGAAAATGTTGTATATCTTCTCCCATCTTCAATATTGAAATGGTTGCACAAGAATTCACCAGTTTTGTTAATTTTTAAAAAATGCATGCTGACATGACGGCTGTCACAATACAGTCTAACAAAATAGTTTCATAGAAAGTTAAAGACAACTAAGCACTACTAGAGCCATCGTATGGAAAAGAAATTAAAGGAACTTTTTGGCCAACCCAGTATTTCGGTAGGATACATGTTAGGAACTGTAATCAGTTTTTGGAGGGTAATTATTCCTCAATTCTGCCTTCTGAATTTCCTGTTTAATTTTCTTACCCATCTTCCACAGTGGTTATTTAAATCTTTTCTTTTTTTTTCTTTTTTAAAAATTTTTTTATTGATTATGCTGTTACAGTTGTTCTATTCCCCCCTTTCATTCCCCTCCACCCTACCCCCCATCCCCACCATTACCCCCCCTTTAGTTTATGACCATGTGTCTCAAGTCCTTTAGATTCTATATTTCCCATGCTATTCTTGCCCCCCATCTATTTTCTATCTACTGTCTATGCTACTTATTTTCTGTACCTTCTCCCCCCTTCTCCTCCTCCCACTCCCCTGTTGCTAAGCCTCGTTGAGATCTTCATTGCTATGTTTCCACTCCTGATCTAGCTGTCCTTTTAGTTTGCTTTCATTTTAGGTGTGATTTGTTCATAACTGTGAGTTTGCTATCCTTTCACTGTTCATGTTTTTTTAACTTCTTTTTCTTAGGTAAGTCCCTTTAACATTTCATATAATAAGGGCTTGGTGATGATGAACTCCTTGAATTTGATCTGATCTGAGAAGCACCTTATCTGTCCTTCCATTCTAAATGAAAGCTTCGCTGGATAGAGCAATCTTGGTTGTAGGTCTTTGGATTTCAGGACTTGGAATAGCTCTTTCCAGCCCCTTCTTGCCTGTAGGGTCTCTTTTGAGAAATCGGCTGACAGTCTGATGGGGACTCCTTTGTAGGTGACTGTCCCCTTATCTCTTGCTGCTTCTAGGATTCTCTCCTTCATTTGAATCTTGCCTAATGTAATTATGATGTGCCTTGGTGTGTTCCTTCTTGGGTCCAACTTCTTTGGTATTCTCTGGGCTTCCTGGATTTCCTGGAAGTCTATTTCCTTTGCCAGATTGGGGAAATTCTCCTTTATTATTTGTTCAAATAAGTTTTCCACTGGTGGCTGTTCCTTTCCCCCTTCTGGTACCCCTATAATTCGGATGTTGGAGCATTTAAAGATGTCCTGGAGGTTCCTAAGACTCTCCTCATTTCTTTGAATTCTTGCTTCTTGACTCTTTTCTGTTTGGCCATTATTTGCTTTCTTCTGGTCCACTCCATTGATTTGAGTCCCAGTTTCCTTTTCATTGCTATTGGTGTCCTGTGCAATTCCATTCATTTCAATTAATTTCGCCTTCATATATTTGTCTAATTTGTGGCTATAATCAACCAGTTCTGTGAGGATCCTGATGACCAGTGTTTTAAACTGTGCGTCTGAGAGTTTTGCTATTTCTTCATCGCTTAGATCTATGGGCTCTGGGGCTTTGAGATCTTCTTGCAACATTTTTTGGTCTGTTCTGGCCCTTTAAGTGTGAGAAGCGGGGCCTTGGACTCCCAGGTCGCTGTGTTGTGACGCTGTATGTGGGGGCCTGGTCAGAGCAGGGAAATGACGACCCCCTCTGCTGTTTCTCACAGCTGGGTGAGGATCAGCGCCTTAGGTGGTTCACCTGGGCCAGGCCACTCAGAGTTGCTGGGTTATGACGCTGTATGTGGAGGTGGGGTCAGAGCAGGGAAATGGCGGCGCCCTCCACTGCCGCTTGCCGCGGGGACCCGCCGGGCCCCGGTCCAACCGCCCACTCCCTCGCCTGTCCGCCCGCGCACAAATGCGTGACCACAGTCAACACGCAGCACCGCTCCCCCGCTGTCTCCCCCGCGGTGGCTCGCCTGGTCGCTCGCTTGGTCGCTCATTAGGTCCAACCCTGCGCCTGGATTCCGCATCTGGATTCCGCGCCTGAGTCCGTCTGACCGAGTTTTCCTGTGCAACCCCGCTTCACCAGCCGCTGGTTTCGCCCCTTACCGGTCAGGCTGAAGAATTTGTTGTTAACGGATTTCCGAAAAGTTCAATTTTCCGTGTTCTGGCTGTGTTTTCTGTTGCTAATATTTAGTTGTCCCTAAACGTGGTTGTGTGAGAAGGCACGACATATCCACCTATGCCTCCATCTTGGCGGAAGTCGTTATTTAAATCTTTTCAAACTCTTCCTTCAAGTTTGACAAATGACTTATACTTACCTAAAAAAAAAAAATCCACCAGATGTGAACTTTCTTCATTTCTCGCTATTAAACCTGTACGTTGAACTTGAGCCTGCAACTATCTTTTCTCCCCTTTTCCTGTTATATTTTCAATTACAACAGAAGGGAACCTTTGCTCCTTCCTAAGGACAGTTCTTCCTCTTGTGCCCTGGATTTTCTTCCTGTTTTCTCAAGGGCCTAGTCACACTCAGTCTATGCATTTGAAATTGCTTTGCTGAGGTCTGCAGTGATTTCCTTGTGGATAAATCAAATGGACACAGTGTTATTTATAATAGCCAAACTCTAGAAGCAACCCAGGTGCCCATCAGTAGATGAGTGGATAAAGAGGCTGTGTTATATTGGCACAGTGGAATACTATTTGGCTGTGAAAAAGAGGGAAATCTTTTGAGACACTGGATGGACCTGGAGAATATTATGCTAAGTATAATAGGCCAGTCAGAGAAACACAAGTACCATGTAATTTCATTCATACGTGGAATTTAATGAACAAAAATAAACTAACAAACAAAATAGAAATTGAATCATAGGTACATAGAACAGACAGACAGCTGTCAGATGGGAGGAAGGTTGGGGGGCTGGGTGAAAAAGGTGAAGTTTAGATTAAGAAGGAAAAAAAAAGCCACATAAACACAGACATGACAGTATGGTGATTGCCAGTGGAAAGGGGGTGGTGGAGAGGTGGGAGAAGGCAGAGCTGTGATAAATGATGGTGGTAAGAGACTTTCCTTTGGGTAGTGAGTACATGATACAGTGTGCAGATGATGTGTTACAGAGTGGTACACTTGTAACCTATATGGCTTCGTTGAC